GTCTGGTGAGCGAAGGAAAAGATTTTCTGGCATTTCTTCTCCCACTTGTCGTCCTACCAAAGACAGCAGACATGAGTGAACATCTGCTAGAGCTCAGCACAGGAGGAGAGAAGTGAAAGTGTATAGGAATCAGACCGATGAAGAGTTCTCCTTGTATCTGAAGGCCAGCTGGTACGCAGCAAACACCAGAGGAGGGAGTGTGAAGCGGATTCTTTGGTTTCCACCGGCACCAAAGTGTTTCCGTGCTGTGCTCAGGATCTGAGTCACAAACAGAAGTTAGTTTGAGTATGGTGCATTGTTTTTGGATGAAATAACATCTCATATCCATTCATTACTAATAATAATGCATGATTTATATAGTGCCTTTCATGACACCCAAAGCAATTTACATTGGAATATTAATTCACTATTCTCTACACACAGAGCTAGTAAGATACTTATAGCCATAGCTGATTGACACAAATTGGCAGCCATCAGCCCTTGGGAACACTCATGCACACACCATATTCATACTGGCAAAGGTAGGTGAAGTGCTTTGCCAAAGGACGACACAACAACAGTCTGCTAAAGCTATTGCCATTGCTATTGTTGAACCTGGTATTCCAGGTCCAACCCTGCTTAGCTTCAGATATTAGGCAAGATTGGGCATTTGTAAGGGAGAATCCAGTAAAGTAAAAAGTAGGTAGCGTGGCATTATGGTCCTGAGTTATGCACTAGTAGGGCTTAGGGATGGGCATGATTAGTCAATTAATCGATAATTGATCATTAAGAATTTCATCGATTACGTTCATTTTAATCGACAAACCGAATGTAGGTTGCTGTGCGTAGCGTGACCAAACAGGGGTCTGTACATGTAGCTCTCTGCACTCAGATGGAGCGAGCAAACACAAACAGTCAGGCAACGTGCCGAAGCGCAAATGCATATTTAACGATGACTTGTACAAGAAATTCCACGCTTTCCGTTCTGGTCGGGACAAGTGTGAGACCATGTGCACAGTGTACAAAGCAGCACATATGTTTCAGTGTCCATTGGGAAAAAGCTCACCAGAACACCGATAATATGAAAAAGCTTTGCCAGGTGAGTGTAGCGCAATATCGATGACGAGTCCCCCACATCCCGTCCCCCGTACGGTGTCCTGGTTTTGACAAGCACAAATATGGTCACACTAACTTGTATTCCACTGAGTCGTGTCCTTTACTCTCACAGAAGGTGAACCGCATCAGTGCACAAGAGCTGTTTTTTTTCTTCGCTTAGTTTATGCAAATTAGCCATGTAGTTTTAAGTTTGTTTCTGTGAGAGTTGCGCAAAACTGCATTAAACACATTATAATCTCAAACAGGATGATGAGTGGTTACGGTTTATATGTCTTAAAGTTTAATTTATTTATGCAGATTAGTAGTGCAGACAGTAATAATAACGATGATCATTTTAATATAAGAACGTTAATGATTAATCGCTAATCGATCGTTAGTTCTCCTGATGATTGATTAAGAAAATTTAATCAAATGCCCATCCCTAGTAGGGCTATGTGAACTCATTTTGGACACTTTAGTTTTGGTAGTAACAAATAACTGCAATACAATATTGCAGTTATTCAGATATCAATATTTGATGTTGGTTAACTGCATAGAGAAGGAGATTTGAGTGCTGAAATGGTATTACCACCTACATACAGGCAGTCCAACTATTTTGCTCTGAGGAAGACAACAGTCTAAACATGAAAGATAAAAAAAATATTTTGACAAGACCGACTGCTGTAACTCACAAGGTACTGCTGGTCGGGGTCCTCGGAGTGTAGCAGATGGATGAAGCGTCCCACCAGACTCTGCTCCTCAGCAAAGTCCTCTGGGTCTGGCTCGTCTGACGGCTGGTCAGGCTGGTCCTGGACCAGCGTCGACACCAGATTTAAGATGGAGTCCACCTGCAAGGAAGAGTCAGAAAATAAGCATACCCACATAGCTCTGCTGCTAGGGCTGGGCAATATAGCATATCTCAAGAATTCTGTAAGTTCTTCACTTCTTGTCTCTATTACAACAGACAAAATATATAACTTCTTTTAAAGGGAACATATACAAAACACCTTTTATAAGCTTTTATTTATGTTATAAGAGCATTCCCTAATCATTAGTTAGCTCAAAGTTGTATTTTTGTTAACTGCTATGGTACAATGCCACTCTGAAGAAGCAAGGCCCATTAGTTCTGCAGTTTTAAACTGGAAGTCAATGGACTGCTTTCGATTATTAAGCCTTAAGATCAATATAGCATTCTTCACTGTAAAATAATGATCGAAGTATGGTATCCTTTATTACTACATACCAGAAAAAACATAATAGCTATTCTTCAACTATGGAAGCAAAACCATAACCCACCTGTTCCTGGGCTACAATGGTGGTATTGTAGTCCAGTGTGTTGCTAAGTACGTAACAGCTCATGTTCTTGCGTGACTCGTAGTCGAAGTACTCGAAGAGAGGGGGGAAGTGCTTGAGCTGCAGTACAGTCAGAATGTTGTTGTAGGAGTCCACAGGGATCTTCAACAGTCGCATCAGCTCTTTGGACACGGCACTGCTGGTCGCTATGCTGAGGGACACGTCAAAGAGGAGGATTTTAGAACAATGAAAGAGCAATTGTTGAGCCTACAGTATTTTTTACAAAAGAGATGGGACAAGATCATGTGCCACACGATCTTTCAAGATAAAACTGAGAAAAGATTGTGCCCACATCTAGAAAATGATTTTAAAATTATTTAAATTTCTGGTCCAATTGTCGACATTTTAGATACAACTTAACAGAGATGATTTTTGAAATCTATAGTATAAAATAGTATAGTATAAATATAATATATATAAATAGTATAAAAAAATTTAATGGAAAAAGAATAATAAAGTAATAATATAATACATCAAATTTCAACTTTTTTTTTTTCAGTTTAAAATAAATAAATAAATAAATCAAGCTAGGAATTGTGTCAACAAGTAAAAATATCCAAAGAAGTAGCTCTTAGTTTCACAGTAATTTCAGTAGCGATACAATCAAAACAAGTCCTGTAATATTATTAGAATTAGTTGTTAGTAATTTCTCATAATATTGGCAAAAACATGCAATAAAATGGAAAAAACTATCTGCACATACTGTTCCAAGTTGAGTTTGTTGAAGATCTCCACCGTGCTCTCCAACACTTTGTCCACATAGTCCACGCGGTCCGGGTAACACTTCATGGCCAGGTTAATGAGGGACACTTGGAGAGACACCACATCCTCTGAGGGCATGTCCTGTCGAGACTGGACACCACAACAACACCGTCAGTACAGATATGAACGACAGTAAAATGTAATGCGAAAATTGTATTGCAAGTTATGGTCACACATGACTTACTCAAGAAAGATGTCAAACTAAATAGGTTTAGACCTGCCTGTTTAGTTAGGCCTGTCAAATTTTGGATTGCTATATAATGTTTAAGGAGATATATTACGAAAAGTAAGCTTAAATGAGCTTTAAACCATGTTATAAATTGTATTCCCTCATCATTGGCTTAGAGTTGTATTTTAATTGTTTCATGCTCAAAAAATCCCACTGTATTTATTCGTGACTGTTAAAAAGGAAATTGTGGGTCATTGTGGGTTTATTTGTGTAGTACATGAAGCATTCAATAATATCCAGTGTTTCAATAATAAAAGCATGTGAATGTTTTCTGGAATAAATAAACACTTTCCTGCAATGGACCTGTTATTTTGTATAACTATATTACAGCATAATAACCTATATATACACACTATAGTTTAATACCAAGTAAATGTGAAAGCATATGTCCTCTTTAAAAATAAATACTACAATATTAACAATAAAATTGAAGACCATTGGATGCCATAGATACCCACATACATCCATGAATCCCCTTTTCTAAATGAATCACAAATAAAACATGAGCTGCAATAAATTAATAGTTTATGTGTCTTACCTGAATGACTGTGGCGACTTGTTGGGAGAAGATGTCGAAGAGTTTAATCTCTGCTGGAATGCCTGGGCCGTCTTCTCGATGAGCAAACAGGGCTAGGCTAAAAATGGATTATACAGTTATTAGGAAATGTTGTATGAAATCACTTGTGAAATCACCATTTATTGTGATGAATTTGTGGACTTATGTACCGGTCAATAAGGGCGATGATAATATTCTTGACATTGACGTGTTGGTGCAGCTCAGCACACGATCGCAGAAAAGGGTTTAGTGTCTGAAGATGGAACTCATCAGGGAAAACCTGAGAGACACATTAACCAGAACATTACAGAAGGAACCAAAGACACAGAGAGATAATGGGTCCTGTATTACGAGTGAAACAGATAAAGACGTGGAGCAGATATCGACTGAGGGCATATCTCCTGCATAGTTCTAAGACGAGGCAGACCAACACTGTGGTGCATTAGGTATACCTGATAGAATTGTTGATGTTTAATGGATTACTGACTTTGTCTCAACTTGTTTTACCCAGGAGACTTAACAGTGAACAGCAATGCATTAGTAAAGACGAGTAGACAGTCAACAGTAAGAACTGTTTGCATAAAACTGCTGTTTATACAACACTGTGTAATGAAGGTATAAAGAACAGGAGTCAAAATTCATCAGAATTTCTCTATGGCTGTTTTTTAGTTAAATAAACATGTACATCAACCCTTGTGAAAGTCAAATATGCAGTGTATTTGCGGACTATATGGGGAAGGCAGAGAGTATTCATGCAAACACACAGGCTTTTGTTTGGTCCTGTCATACCTGAATAATACACTCCATCAGATACTCCTGAGCCAAGGAATCTCTGCAGTTGACCACCTGCTCCAAAACACCAGGGAGAACAATCTGTGGAACAAAGCTGTGTCAGAGATCTTGGAAGATTTTTCAAGATGAAAGAAAAGGCAACTGCTGATATGAAAGAGTGATTACACAACATACCTGTTTGTACTTTTCCACATTGACGCCCTCCAGCTGGCTCAGGCGTACCAGGTTGGTGCCGACCAGAATCCTGAGTTCTTGGCGCTCCTTCTCCCTCTTCTCTCGGTCTCGGCTGTGTCCCTGATGCTGCATTCTGACCCATAATTTATTCATCTCCGCAAAGTTCAAAAGGACAAAGTCAACAGAGTCAGTAATGTCCCCAGTCATCTCCTCTGAGCCCCTGGGAGAAAAAGGACATCTGTGAGTGAACTCATTATATCACACATATACATGCAAATACATGTGGTGTGGTCATCCATACTCTAACTGCTCCCCGTCGTCAGGCAGAATGTTCCGGGTGCACTGCAGCAGGTAGTTCCTGAGGAACAGGCCTCTCAGAGGATGCTGCACACCTCGACACATCTCCACCAGGTCCTTCAGGATGTCCTTCCGAGACTGAGGGAAGGAGCGCACATAGACCACGCCCACTGTGATCAGGAGGTATCTACAACAGACAACAAGCAGTGTGGTGGTCAACAGTGTATTAACAAAGGGGATATATGTATAATACATTTCTCTTTATTTGAATTTTATGGTGGACTACAGAAACATGACCAGAGAGAGCATTGACTCACAGCCTGGGAATGATGTTGCCTGCATACTGCACCAGCTCGTACAGATCTGCCACCTTACGCCCTTTGGCGAACTCATCAGTGAGATACACCTCCAGGTAGTGGAGCTCATCTGAGATGGCCATGTCTGGAGAGCCTCTGTTAAGAAATATTAATCTGAAACACTTCAACACACACTATGGATTGAAACAGAGAATATGTGTTGTGTGAATCATTAATGACAGTGCAGAGCAGGAAATCTTAAGGATACAGAGCTCATAGTAGCTCTTTGGAGAAAGCATGGACGTCCTCAGCTCCCCCAGCATGTTAGAGGCATGCTTCAGAGCATCCATCAATTTGTTCTTGTCCTGTGAAAAGAAACTATTTACACTAGGCAGTAACAACAGCACAATGCTACCACTAGGGATGTGCAAAAATATCAATATATCAATATACCGTTTAATGTGATGATACAGTACTGATATCGTGGACTGCTGTATCGATATATCAATATAAGAGCAATTTTTGGTATATTTTACTAAACTATTTTGTTACAGCACTACAGTTTTGTTGATTATTCAGAGGAAGAACTCATTATGCAATACATTTGACATTTTCAGTTTTGATGAGTAAAATGTGTGTGTTTCATATTCACTTTGCACAAGAAGTGGTTTCACAAAAGCTTTTAGTATCACAGCCAGGATTTAATCTTTATTGTTTATTGAACCACATCGAATCGGTTTGAAACATATCGTATTGAATCATATTGAATCAAAATCTCACTGTATCAAGATATGTATCATGGCCTATGTATCGAGGTATGTAACATATCTGCAACTACTTTAAGGTACGCAGTAGGCCGACTAAACCAAGAGTATTTTCAATGAAGTGATAGAGTAACAATACTGATATTAGTTTAACATTTGAAAATCACAAACTAACTTTCTAGCCCACCTAGGCTTGTTTCTGTTGCACTATGTTTCTGCAATTTCCTTAACTACAACTGTAAATGAACACATTCACTCTTTGAAAAGGGCCTTGAGGTTTCAGCAGACAGTGTATCATTTACCAGGCATCGTTTCATCTGGAAGGACTGAACCTTGACAGCTTGCACGGCCTCATCCAGGAGCTTCTCCTGCTCATCCTGAGGAGACTGTGTGGTGGGCTGCAGCAGACAAAGACACAACCATCAATCAGAAAAATGCATTTAATTATTTAACATACTGAGGAAAAAAAAGATGTAATTACAATACATGTACATGGAATTACAATTACAGTTATGGCACAGTAAATGAACTACAATAATTCATGGGAGGGTAAAATAATAGTATTATCCAGTAGTACTCTTTCATATTCTCCATTTTTATCTTATTGGATCTGAATCCAGGTTGAATAAACTCACTCTCAGATATATATAGCAGAGCAAATATATTACGCTGTAGGGAAATGCCATGATAATAGAAATCTGTATAATGTTACACCCATAGCAATGATGAAGATATGGGAAGCCAATGATTAATACTTTCAGGAGAGAGCAAATTTCCTCCTCTATGAAATGGCTCAACTCCACAGCACATAGAGGAGAACAAACCTAGGTTGATATAGTAGGCTATTTATCATGACAGGCCTACACAAACATGACAAATTTTACTTTGCGCTTGACAGTCTGAACAGTATCTTCACTTTTGGTCATGCTGCATCAGCATAGAATCAGCAACATTTTGGCAAATGTGAAAGTGGACTGTTAAAATTACAGTATATATACTATATACTATATCCTCTCCCCTTTAACCTACTTTCCAAAAACTGAGGTTACACCATGTTTCCATGTTTCTATAGTTTGAACAAATTCAGCTGATCATTACATATGTTGAAATATCTTGAACATATGTTTGGCACATAGTTCAGTTGGATATTTAACTGACAAACTAACATTTGTACATGTCTATACTTCAGGGCTAGCAGTTTTTATGCAGACTAAACAGATATGATAGTAGTTCAAAAAATTGCAGCATTTGTGATTTCCCAACTGCATCCATTCAAATGATTCATCTTGCTGCCCTAATATTAAAATTATATATGTATTACACTATATATACCTCTCCCCTTTAACCTGCTTTCCAAAAACTGAGGTTACACCATGTTTCCATACCTTCGCAGTTTGAACAAATTCAACTAATCATTAAATATGCATATTAGAATACATAATAACAATCTATTAATTCATGATAAAGGCTGAACATATGTTTTGCAAATAGTTCAGTGTGACAAATACCCCAAAACATACGTAACTTCTTCACGTGACAGCACTAGACCTGTATTTTCTTGACACTTGACAAATGTATGACCGACCGTACTAGACTCCGCCCTGTTTGCGTTCTAAAAATCATTCATAATCATAATTAAGAAGCATGTACGTATCGTGCATAGGCCAATATAGATTAGAAAACATGTTACACTAGCATGACAATCTTCTAACATCTTACAAAATACAGTACAAGTTGAAGGCTGGGTCTGTTTGGCTAACGGCTAACACACCCGAGCTAACTACTCTTCGTGCACTCATTCCTTCATAATGCTGCACGATCCGTATCACATATAAAACACTAGGCCCTTGATATCAAACTGACCACGTTGCTGCGACTAAACATGCCAAATAAACCAGCGTATCGCACAGTTTTTGACGTTTAAGGAAGTAGCCAGTTTTTAGCATAGCGGCTGTCAAAGTGGAGTGAGAACAGATGCTGCTACGGACAAGGAAGTAAAGATGCCTGCACGATCGGTTTCGTTAAAATAGGAATAAATAAACATTGGTAATGCGTTCTTGTAGTCCTGTAATGCATCTTACCATGATCACAAGTGGAGATGTAGCAGCAGTGCAGTAGAATTTTCTGTCATGTGACCTGGTTTGGCACAACTACAGCATCACAGGGAACAGTCGCTTCCTTTTCCTCTGCCAGATCTGACCCACTAGCGCCTCTCAGCATGCACAAGCGGAACGGCACATTAGAATAAATAAAAAGTAGTATGTTGCCTAATTATTGATGGGCATCAGTTAGCATCTCATCTCTTAAAGGTGCACTATGTAACTTTTTGGTTGGGGATCTGTCAGTTTATGTCACTGCTCTGCCTGGAATGTTCCACAGTATGACATTAAACAGCTCTACTTAATTTTATTAAATTACAGGTGTTTTTCATAGCTCAAAATCCCCTCTCCACAGATCTGACCTGTAACTTGGTCTGGTTTAGTCTCCACGATGGTACAAAAACATAACTAGTTTTGTTTTGTTTCATTCACGCATGTTTAACACACAAATCCTAAATATCTCTTCTTCTCTCAAATGAAATCCACTATGTTCCACCTTGTGATGTCATGTGGAAATACAGGATTCTGTGTTTTCAAACTTCAAACACATTCTCTAAAATCATGGATAATTTCAACCCTGGAATTGTCATTATCTAATGAACCATCACAAGGTGGAATGCATTTTGAGCTTTGGAGATGCAAGCAGATTAATAATTAAGGATTGCTCCAATATGTGCTAATGAAACAAAACATTACAACATGGCTTAAAGCTCACAATAATCAAATCTGTGTAATATAGGATCTTAGCAGTCTGCTTGCCACAGTTTGAGAAACACTGATTAGAAAAAACAGAGGTGGGATTAACAAACAGCATGAATTAATAGCAAGTTCTCAAATTTACAGATGTCAAATCGCAGATGGAGAGTGAATTAGCAAGGCATAATTGCAGAATGAAATTAGATTTCTTCCATACAATTCTTCAGTCTTCCTCTTCAAAGAACAGGCTCTGTTATGACAGTACATGAAACATATCAACAAAAATACACTTTTAGAAAGATTTATTATAAAAATCCAACACAAGCATGTTTAAAATGCCCATATAGTGCAAAACATTCTGCTAAGAGCATATGATAGGCCACAGTACAGTGTTGGAAAAATGTTCAGAAGGGTTGAAAGATTAGGGAAAATGTCAACCGGTAATTGCAATTACTCTTAGATTTATAGTTTCTGTTTTAATAATACTACAATACAATTCTGTTCAAAGTTCATATTGTAACTGCATCCAGAAGAACTGACAAAAAGACTGAAATATGAACTGACAAACTAATACAAGATTCACATTTCACAACATGTGAGTTACCAGAGTTAGCAGTTTTTATGCACAATCAACAGATATGATGGTAGTTCAAAAATGGCAGCCTTTGGGATCTGACAATTGCATCCATTCATATGATTCATCTTGCAGCCCTAATGGTCACCTCTCAATTGCATTTGGAGAAATCAAATTCAGTGTTCAACTTCAGAGAATAAACCTAGTATATGGTTGCTGACAAAGAATTATCAATGCTCTTCCTGTTTCAGATTCAGTTGGGCACATTTCATTGGGCCTTCACTTTAATGGCAAGTGAATGAACAGTTGTCTATGAAGGTCCATGTTGATGAAATAAATATTCCAAAACATCGGTGGAGTTACGTAGGCCTGGTAGTGACATTTACTTTGTGTTCATTATTATTGTGGTTTGGCTGTAGTGTCCTTCCACTGACGAACAGGCCATGAGCAGGTTGACCAGAGGGGGTCTTGATGTTTTGGTGCAGGTAACCGTTATAAAAGTCTGCAGCAGTCAGCCGCTTTTTCAGCAGCACCGACCGGAATCCAACCCAGCCATCCTGGACAAAACAGAATACAGAACTTCACACAAAAGATGTTTTAAGAACACAAAGAATACAAACTTAATCAGCGTAAGCTTGGAGCATGGATCTTTAGTAACTAGTACAGGGAAGTTATGCTTTATTATTGGCTTTGTTGGCTACCATTGTACTTTGTGTAGTGTACTGAAATTATGTTCGACTGATGCAATTTTTCTTTTACATTATTTATTTAAATTGAACAGTGAAGTTTAATATGAAGCTTACAACAAGATGGCTTGTAGTTTTGGCAACTGATTTGATCTAAATAAACCCGGTGAAGGTGTATGAACTTAAAACAATCTTCAATAGCTTGCAAAGAGTCAGACCACCCAAACAATTTACTAGTAGTAATGTCCTATATAAATGCATGACTGACCTTACAGCGAACACTGAGAATATTGGACTCTTTCAGATAGAACACAGATCCAGGCACTAGTTTTCCACTACCATCTGTAAAATATAAGCAAAGATACAATTTAGCAAACAACCAATAAATAGTCATTCATTTAGTGACAAATAACGACTGCAATAACATTCAAAACTGTGTCATAATGTAGTTTGTACATATTTGGATTTAGCGTGTTTAAAGTGTATTCCAGATGTCATTTACCTGGCACCACATTGTAACACCTTCCCACATAATCTAAGAGTTTGACGGTCCTCCCCATCCATAATGTTCGCAAAGGGATCTGAGGAAGACAATATGGTTACACTCTACTACAGCCTGTCTACATTTTACTATTATTATTTACTGACATAATCTGAAATGATGGCATAATCATTTGACAGATTTTGAACACACTCTCTTACCCGAGATCCAATAGCACGAGATAGACAGTCAATATTATCAACGGTCTGCTCCTCCCACACCAGCCAGCTTAAAGATTTGCTAATTTTGGGGGCTGACACAGAAAAGGTATTGAAATATTATGTTGCAAAAATAAAAACAATGTAAGTTTGTATTCATATTTAGGTTAACTTACCAAATGTAGCACCTGTCGTACTCTGCTCCTTCTTATTCTGTAGTTTTTCACACAAGTTCTTCAGTGTGTCTATAAGCTAGTCACAAAAACATCCTATGAATGAACAGTTTAAAATACACAGGTACAGATGTTTTCCTTACACCCTTTGAAAAACTACCCTGAAAGTGTATCTATAGATAAGATATAATAATACGGTCAGCTCTATTACAACCATTGACTATGAAATCATAAACAATGTGTAAAATCAACCAGCTGTGTTTTTTTTTGTTTTTTTTTGCCTTGTCCCACCTCTATTATTTGCCTGTATGTAACTTTTTCTTTGGGGAGTCCTGCTTGTTTCTATGGATGCACCATTGCTCTGCCTGGAATGTTTCACAATTTAGGACATTAAACTATACAATTATTATGTACAGGTGGTTTTATGGCTCAAATATACCTAGAAGAAGCAGCATTCTGACAGTGAGCGAGGTTGTCCATTGATCTAACGTTTGTAATTTGGTCTGGTGTGGTTTCCATGAAGATAGAAAGGTGCCATACTGTTTACATTTAAATACTTTTAATGCCATACTGTGAAACGTTCCAGATAAAGTAATAACATCTCCATGGAGAAAAGCATTTGACAGACCCATTTAATTAAACATTTCCCCAAGTGTTACTGTGCCTTTCTTTTGTAAAGCACAACAATTATTGGATTTTTTTTTTACTCATGCCCAGAACAATAGTTAACTAATTAACAAATCATTCATGAACCAAAAATAAAGGTTGAATATTAAACTTACCATCTGTGCTCCTTTAACAGCTAGAATGTCCCCAAGTTCATCTGAGGTGAGTTTCTTTTGGATGTGATAAATTTCCTGACTGAGGATGGGGCCTACATCAAACCTGGAACATTGTCACATATCAGCATTCATCTGTTTTTAAGGAATATTCTATAAAAACCTTTTGTCTTTTCCCAACCTGTGAGGGCGAATCTGCATCACTGTGACCCCGGTGACCTCATCTCCCTGCATAATGGTGTGAAAAATAGGTGCTGGTCCTCGCCACCGTGGGAGCAGGCTAGGGTGCACGTTGAGAATCCCACTGTAAATGACAAAATATAAACCCTCAAGATCAAACATCAAACTGGAGTACTGAGATGTAAGTATTGAGATTATGTATGTTATGATTATGTGTGTTTTAAAATTAAGATTTAATAGTAGTTAGTGCAGTTTTTTAAAACACAGAGGAAGACAGAAGTGCTGAAACGTTGAAAGAACAAGAATAACATGCATTTTGGAACGTGTTTGTAGAGGACTAAAGTTGAAGGGTTAGCATGTTTATACAGAATAAGACTCCATGCAGACGGCATTAGATCTCTATAAAGGATATAATAATAGTACTTTTTGAAAATTGCCAAATGAGACAATTATAATTGCTATTTAGATTTGATTTTTTGAACTTGTATAATTTCTAATAGCAATAAAGAAATACTTTCATATTTTGGATGTTTAAATAGAACTTTTCTCTGTTTAGGGTCAATGTATAAGAAGTTTATTATATTCAAACTGGCTGTACCTAAATGACAGTTACTATGTAGATCTGAAGTACTCAATTACTCACAAGGGAAACTTGCTGATGAGTTTTTGTGGAAGTAAACAGCCGAAGGAAACCACGACCCCCACATCAAACTGCCCATGGCTGATGTCCGGGGGCCAGCTGTGCACTGGGAGAGAATTCTGATGGGCAAACCTTTTCACAGGGACATCACCCGATAGAGTCACCACTTCAAGAGTCTGGACCACAGGGTCACTGGATTTTCTGAAACACAAACATATTTAAATTCAGAGGAAGTGATGAGGGTGGACAAAGAAACAATGGAGACCGAATAAATGCTTTCTACATTGGGATAAGGTGACAAAGTTTAAATTGTAAATTGATCCCTATGATGATGTGATATTTTGGTCACAGCATCATATCATGACAGACTATTTTTCTATTTAATGCTGATGCTGTCTGCACAAAGTCACAAAAGCAGACACTTTTTCCCAGTTTCCTCTCTTATTGGTCAGCCCCTGTAAACCTTTGAATGATTAACTGTTGGATTTTAACCAATCACAGTGAAGAGTGAACTTTCAGAAGAAGATTACATTATTTACCTTTTAAAGAGGAGCAAATATGAAGTGTACAATGAAGTGTGATACATAACACTTTCATGGTGGTCAACCTACATTACACTGAAATGTGATGCTGCTGAGAAACTTGATAAAAGTTCAATTTAACAACTGGACCAGGAGCAGCACTCTGATGAGGATACATGTGTGAGTAAGAGTGTCGTCAGTGTGAGAGAGGAGAAGTCAGAACAGTACCTACTGCTCGACAGCACTTTGAGTGACTCTACTGCGAAGTGGTCAGTGCCGAAAAACAGCACGCTCCAGGGGGGTTTGGCGGACTGTGTGTGCCCTCTCCGCGGGCACAGCGGCCGCCACTGCTGGAGCTGGCTCCGGAGGAGTTTGACAGCTCTGCCACAGGTCACCCACATGGCTCCGGCTCAAGTTTGTGGTGTGATCGGGTCAGCGCATGGCCGGGGTGTTTCTCATTGAACACTGTTACAAAAGAATGAAAGACCCACTCCTGAAGCTTATATGATTTCAAATCTGCAGCAGTCAAAATAGTCCCATGTCAGTGATGCGCGGCGCCATGTTGCATTATGGCTCTCTTGCCTTCCAAACAATCTACTGCAATGTAAATTTATTATAGCGCCACCTACTGTGCAGGAGCAATTATTATTAATGTATTCCCCTTAATAGTCGTGCGTCTGCGCTTCTATGCATATTCATGCTATTTGATGCAGTAAAATCGACGATCAAGCCAGTAGGACTCGACTAACCATTCTAAACAAACTCTTGTTCGCACTGCAGACAAATATCTGTGGTACTGTTCCTTTAAGAAACGTTTTGCGACAGCGACGTTATTACGACAGTTAAGTTTCATTACGTTTAAACAACAACATGGCTCAAGCGGCGCACTTTTCAGGCTCCGAGGGTGTTTCAGGGGAAAATGCAGGAACTTCAGCCGCGGAGGGAGGCAGCGGGACACCGGGGACAGGGGGACAGGACAACCCGGTGTGTCTGATCGTCCTGGGCATGGCGGGTTCCGGGAAAACCACGTTTGTTCAGGTAATGAATAGCTGTGGGGGCTAGTGATGTTGACCAGAGCAGAGTAGTCTGACTCTGTACTCTCTCAGTACACCTGCATATACATTACTTTCTCATTCTCAAAATGAAATGTAAAAAAAAAATAGATAGGGCCTAATCCTTTGGCCCATACTAAATGATGAAATGAGATTGTTCTTGGTGCTAATTCTTTAGATTAGTATTTGGCTACTTGTTGTATCTGGTGTTTGTGAAGTTATATTTTCCTGTGGTGGTAGCCTACTTGACAAAAAACATAAAAAGTGATAACATTATTGCTCCCACAGGATTAGTAGGCCTTGTATTGTTGTGACAACACCTGTATATGTTCTGTTTAATGCATCCTACGTTTGATCTCTTTTCTTGTCTTTCTCCAGAGGCTGACAGCTCATCTCCACACTCAGAATGCTCCACCATATGTCATCAATCTGGACCCTGCTGTCCATGAAGTGCCATTCCCGGCTAACATTGGTGAGGAGAAACTCAATTCAACACACAGGCTTCCATATGTTCATTTCAAAGAATCATGTGTTTTTATTTTATTACATAAAATTAAATGCATCGAAGCACCTGATTCATACTAACATACAGATTATTCTTTCACAAAACCTTTCACAAAGGTAAAATTTTTCTTGAGTTAAAGAAAGTATTGAAACAAGTATATAAAAAAGCATGGATATTAATGCAGTGCTTTGTGTGTGCAGACATCAGAGACACAGTCAACTACAAAGAGGTGATGAAGCAGTACGGCCTTGGACCAAATGGGGGCATTGTCACGTCTCTCAACCTGTTCGCAACCAGGTTTGATCAGGTGAGATATTATATATGAAACTGACCTCATCTCTTGTCTAAAGTCCATCCATGTACAGACACTGAAGACAAGACAGGTTAAGTGTCTTGACAGATCAGTACTGATGGGACCCAACCAGCTCAATTATGGAGTCCCTGGTTATACTAACATAAACTTGATGTACATTTTGTGTTAATTTTGAATATGATTGTGATCTTCGTCTTCCTGTTCAGGTCATGCAGTTCATTGAGAAGAAAAAACACAATCACAGGTGAGTATATGGGCACTTTGATGAGAAAGCCCTTCTGGGGTTAAAATCCATTCTGATCAACACATCGGATCATCCACTGGTGGAATGTTTGGAATAGTAGTATTTCAGAATAGTAATGGACTACATCACCTTTCCTATTTACTTTTCTATCCCTTTGCTTAGCTTTATCTAGTGGGGATGGGGCTGTGTCTGCATGCCAAGTTAAAAACTGATCCACTGTCTCCTGTTTGTTAAGGGTTTAAATTCTGTGTTGCAATTAATTTGATATAGAAATGGCATGTTGCTGCTAATAGATCACTGTTAGTAATATCTTGTGAAACCTGTAACCTTTGCCCCTGCAGATTTGTGCTGATCGACACACCGGGTCAGATTGAAGTATTCACATGGTCAGCATCTGGCACTATCATCACAGAGGCTCTGGTAGGTGTATTTTTAATCATCATCACAGAGGCTCTTGTAGGTGTATTTTTAGGATTATACAGGTCATGCAGCAAAAGAGAGAGAGAAAAAACAAGATCTCTTTTATACAGTCACTGTAACATATTAGTAATGAATATATATCATAATAAAAGTGATAACAGTGCACCAAAATAAAATTTCAATGTAAAATCCCCTAAATAAAACTGCAAACACAATTATGTAATAACTGTTTTTGTATTCATTTGTATGTGATATTAGAGATTCTGTTTTGAACTTAAATCCTACTTGTACCCTGTACTGGCACAAGTCACTCCAATTAGATTTTTGTATTTTCCTTTATTAATAGGGATTATTTTTAAAGGTGAACTTCTGTACCTTATATGTTTCCAGGCCTCCTCTTTCCCCTGTGTAGTGGTTTACGTCATGGACACATCTCGCTGTGTCAATCCTGTCACATTTATGTCCAACATGCTGTATGCCTGCAGGTATGGACTGTCCCATGCAGACCCCCTCCCCTTAACTAAGCAATAGTATATTCAAGCATGATGAAGCTTGCTTCATCATGCTTGAGGCCATGAGGCTGATTTATCTCATGGATCCATTTAAAGACATTCGGTATATAATGGATATTCTTTCAAGACTCTCAAGGGAACAGTTTCAGAAGATGAGTATTACTAGTCGCACACCTAATCCTTATAGCTGCTATTTTTATACGCAACATTTAGTTTGGAAAAGTAATGCTATCTAGACTAAAAAAAGATTTTGAGAGCAGTACATTTTCATTAATCAATGTCAGTGAATAAACTTGGGAAGTAGTTTTAGGTTGCACCAAATGTAAGTCTATATGTCAGATTGTTTACTTCTACACATGGAACTGCTTTATCACCTTTGAAAAATAACTATTCATTTGTATTGGGTTGGTGAGAAAACGTTGAGCCACAGATACTGACAATTCCAGCATGTCCAGCAGAGGGCCCCCTTTGAAAAGTTTTTCACATTGTTCCGAGGGACGATTTAAGTGCTGTCAGTATTTGGAAGAATGCTCAGCACAGTATTACACACTTCTCTTGTCTTTCTCTCCAGTATCCTCTACAAGACAAGACTACCCTTCATAGTGGTTTTAAATAAGGTGCGTTCTATAGTTTTGCTTTTCTCCTGTTACCAATTTCAATAGAAAAATGTGGTATTTGTAATGTAATTATATAGTAGCTCTGTTGTAGTTAATAATCCTTACCAGACCCACATCTGAATGTCTTTGTTGCATTCCACTTTGCAGACGGATATTATCGACCACGGCTTTGCAGTGGAATGGATGCAGGACTTTGAGGTTTTCCAGGATGCTCTCAACCAGGAGACCTCATACGTGAGCAACCTGACCCGCTCCATGAGCCTGGTCCTGGATGAGTTCTACACCAACCTCAGGGTAGGTCCCACAGCAGATCCCTCAGCACCCCTCCCCCCTTGCTCTCTCCTGACCCTGTGTGTTTATAGGTAGTGGGGGTGTCTGCAGTCACAGGCAGTGGTCTGGAGCAGCTTTTTGTCCAAGTGGAGGAGGCAGCAAAAGAATATGAGAGGTTAGACCACTCTTGCTTATAAAAATGCTAATATCTTTTATACTGTCGTTAGCTAAGGAAGAAGAATTTACTCAAGATAGAGACAAAAGCATGGCTACCAAACCCTGGTATCTTAAGAGCACCAGTGCCACATCTAAATGGTCCTCTTGATCATTAATTTCCAGCGCCATTGGTGGTCTTAATGTCACACATGTATGTACACAAATATGAGTGTGAAACTGAAGTCTCTTCTCATAAGCTATATCTTATGCACATGACCTGTTGACCCTGCTTTGACTTCTTGGCACATACGGTATCGGATCATTTCCACGTTTGCTTCCCTTCATCTGTGTGCGAATGAGCAGAGCCTTGGCTCTGATCAGCTGGAGCGGCTGTGGGGATGACTTCGACAGCGCACATCGGTGACACATGGTCCACAGGCACACGCTGCCCTGAGTCATCTGGCACATCATTTCAGAACACAGACTGTAGGCTCCTCAAGCACCAAAAGAACATCATGGGCCATATATTTTGTCTATAATATGAAATAAAGCTGGCTACTGCAATGTAATCTAGACATTAGTAAAATATAAATTTCAGTTAGCTATTACTAGTTAGTAAGCTAAAAATAGTTGAAAGTTGAAAGTAAATCATACATAAATGTTTCAAAGAAGAGAAATTAATTAATTTATATAGTTATAAATTCTAATTTGTATTTATTTATTTTGCTGTAAAAGTACCGATAAGAGTACCCTTAAATTATCGGATCAATAAGAAGTAATGATATATGTATTGATAAATCCATATAGACATGTGATATCAAGGACTAAGGCAAAGTGAAAAAGCACAGACATGTACAGCACATATCTTGTACTTAAATACAAATATACAGAAACAAATGCTTGAGGTATTTGAATTTTTTTGTATGGGAAGAGAAACTGAACTGCTGTGTATTCTCTTCCTCAGGGAGTACCGTCCTGAGTATGAGCGGTTGCGCAAAGAGTTGGTAAGCATCTGGAGTTTGTCAGTAGTTATTGCTGTGTTCTGTTCTCACTGTCCTTTATGTTGTATATCCTCACTGTTCTTCATCTGTTACCTCTCTCTGTCCCACCATCTAACTATCCTCTGTCCACTGTCCAGGCCCAGGCTCAGAGCAAGAAGCAGCAGGAGCAGCTGGAGCGCCTCCGGAAAGACCTGGGAGAGGTCAAAGTCACCCCAGCAGTCTCCACAGGTAACACTCATCTACACAAGTACAGCTGAACACATGCAGACAGATGGCATTTTCAGTGTTTCCTCTGATCTTGTGTCTACTGCAGAAGAGGCAGACATGGCTGGTCCCAGTGACCTGATTCTGACCCGAGGGCACATTGAGGAGGACGAGGAGGAGCCACTGGATAGTGACACAGACGACTTGGACCACACTGGTGAGACTCTCCTCTTTCCCAACATTATATTGTATAGTACCTTCATTTCCTGAAGACTGATCCGAACCTTTACCGTAGTCACTACTCCCTACCCAAATCCTTTTTTAACCTATATGTGAACCGTGTTATTTATCTATTAATAAAGAATTCACCTCATAGATGATCTGGTCAGATTACTGATGTAATTTACAAACAAAAGGGAAATTGTTTCAAGAGGTATTATATTGTATGTAATTGTACAGTCTTCAAAATACAACAGTTACTCTAAAAATGAATATCTCTAGGTATTTTTGATAATCAGGTTTCTCTTGTGCATGTAAACATACACACAAAATCTGAATTCTGATTACTGCGTTATCTGATTATTTTAATTATTCTAGATTTTTTACTGTTCATGTAACTATATCCACCAACATGTTGTTTTACAGCCACTGAGGAAAGCAAGGAAACTGAATCCTTTGGAAACTTCCTGAAGAATAGGATGGAAGTGGTACAAGTGAGAAACAAAAAGTGTGCTCCACCGGACGGTTAGTGAGACCATCTGTGCTCGCAGTCTGTCCCCACACACAGAGAAATACATGGAAGTTTGTAATCCTTCTGAACTGGTGATTCCTACTCTTCGAGCTTAGACAGCTTTTATATTAGCTACAAAAGATTCTATTTTTGTATTTGTAAGTCTTATTATTATTTATTTTTTTGGTTTTGCTTTCATGACCTGGTATTGATACTTTGTAGTGACGTCTCGCTGGGAAGGGTTCTGCATGTATGTCTATGGAGGAATGTACAGCAGTTACCATGGTGACACAATGCACCCTGATAAGCTTTTATATGGTCTGAAAATTCAAGAAATGTAAACAACAAAAATAAGGGTAGATAGCTTGTTTCTGTAATGTTATTTGAAAAGGTTTAAGTACAAAATTTGTTTTAGTTCCAGCTAAATTGTGTCTTTATCAGATTAAATTTGAGATTAAAGTGTTACTTGAGTGAAAGAGCATCAGACAGAGCAGTGCCTCCAGTTGGCATCACTCACAAGGAACACTGACGACATCAGCTGCAAAGTATCAGTTAATGTTACCTGACCTGTTGTGATTTGTCCATGACTGACCTCCTCCCTTCCTCTATACCAAGGTTCAAAATTCCTCTAATAACACAATAAGAGTAAGGCAGTATTGGTCGGGATGCAGGAGCTGTTTTTGATTTGTGCGGGTGACACATTGTCAAGAAGGATTGCATCTCTCTCTCTTCTAAAGTGAAAATAAATATCACTTTGACTTTTACATTGTGTTGCTTTTTATTACCATTATTACCATTATTACCGATAGAGTTAGGGCTCTGTTGTATGATTTCATAGTGGTCACATATCCATAATCCTGCATGTACAGGTGCTTTGGGGAAATCAGTATTCCCTATTCATTTAAAGGTACACTACGTACTTTTCTGATGGGAATTAGCTACTTGCTTATCTTCCGGGTCATGTTATTGCTTTGCTGACAATATTGCATCAAATCTATCCTTTATCTGTATAGCATCTATTCAATTGCAGATGTTAAAAACATGTAGAAAAGCATGCATTGTTACTGTAAGGACGCCTCTCCAGATCTCCTGTCACTCCTATCTGCTTGCCCCCACAGAGATAAATATGTTTCATTCCATACTGAGGAGCATTCAGTGCAGTAGAATGTATGCAGGCTGAGAGATTTTTTTTTGAACCGATACTAGTATCCAATATTTGTCTTGTTGTTATGGCTAATAAGCGGTATTTGCTGATACTAATAACGAGCTTTTAAAATCTATAGTACAGACCAAATTTAAGTTATTTTGTAAACTTCACTATAACTTAGAGCTTATGTAAAAAATAATAATAAAGCATTTTATCTGATATAAATTCATATTATCACTCATTCAGACTGCTCAAAAAGGCAAATCTGATACACTGAGGACAATCTGGGAATGACACATGGGCACATACACACTGGGGCATGACACATGAGCAGTGCAGAAAAAATATTGGTGCCAAATTTTTGCAAAATGTTAGCCTACATATCTAGCTGATACTGGTATCTTGGGAAATCCTCTGATATCTCCAATAACCAGGACACCATTCGTACTATGCAATGCAATACCACTGCCATGGACAACCAGTTGGAAGACCGTACATCAGAAAAGTTGCATAGTGCATCTTTAAGCAGGGATTAATTTATGTCCATAGTATTTACTCTATGGCTGCTATTACTAAAGCTTCTAATAATACCAAGTATCCTGAAAAACTTCGAGTGCAGTTATTATGTTCTAAAACATAATTATAACAATGACAAGGTGCTTAATAGTAATTTTTCTAGTAGACATCTACCACTAGCTTGTCTTCACTGAGATGTCATTGATTTGTGTGGAATGTTCCACCATTTGGTGTTAAACATCTCTATCTTGCATTCATTTACTTACATGAAGTCATGAAGTTCCATAGTGCACATTTATGTAAGACTCCCTTTCTCTTTTTGTGAGTGAGAAATCGTGACACTAAATACCAGCTTTTCACTAACTTGCCAATACTGCTGTTATTTTGTTTTTGTAAATCCCAGTCCTGCTTCCTGACAGTCTGTAGGCCGCAGTGAGGATGTGGGCGGTTCTTTTAAAGCATTTGGAGCGATACAACGTGACTCACACGAGCGGATGAGAGAGGGAGAGTGGGCAGTGGGCACCGCACAACACTCTACACTTTCATTCACACAAAACAGGCAGACTGAAGCAATATGGGACTGCAATGTTAAAGTCTACTCTGATTATTAGAGAGTATGTTAGAGAGTATGCAGCAAGGTTAGTACAGATTTTAACTGCAGGGTTTAGCTTTTTTTTTTTTATGTAGAATAAGACAGGATATTTAGGTGTTTGAAAATTGTGGAATCAGAAAATAGCATTTGCAGTTTGATAGTTGTGATTTATCAGTTCTCAAATTTCAATGTCTACTTTAAGTACTGAATGTAGAAGGTTCACTGTTCAAGTGGCAGTTAAGATGTGTACTCTGATGTTTTACTTTGCCTGGAATGTTCCATTTTATTGCATTGAATAGTTATGTCTTGCATATTAGACAATAATGTAATTTTTTGCAAAAATAATCTTGTGCCTTGGTAGTCCTTGGTCAGGACTACCATAAGAATGACAATACTTAGATAGATTGGCAGCCTCACTTCTGTCAGTCTGCCCCGGGGCAGCTGTGGTTACAATAGTAGCTTATCACCAGTGAGTGTGGAGTGAACGAACAATGAACTAGCGTGGCTTGGGTGTCTTGAAAGGTGCTATATAAATGCAATGATTAATTAAATGATAATAATAAATTTATGAATTAGCATAATATGGGCTCTTGAATGTAAAACTGACTAACCTAAAGCTAGATACTCTTGACCAAACTTATCATTCAAGATCTGGGAGATTAGTTTAGCTCCTTGCTTACCCCAATGACATTGAATGATGCTTCAAATGCACAGGACAAATTTCCCATGGGTCCAGTAAAGTACAACTTATCCTGAAGCCAGACTGCGGTGATTAGAACATGTGCAGAAGAAGAGTGCAACAAATAGATTTAAGATAGATAGAAGGGTCAGATGATGATGCCTTGAAGGTGCAAAAGTGCTATATAAAAATGTGACTTTTTATTTCCAACCAAAGGAATATTAAATGTCAGGTAAGCCAGTCTAGCAATGATTCTGAATTTCATTGTGTACTTAGTATGAATAATTCCTTCTCTTGTTTCTTTGTGCAGGCTTTGTTGTTCTGAGAGAAGCGTGCCTGCTGCTGTCTGATTTGAAATATTGAATGAGAGCCTCCACAGAGCTGTGGTGGAGGCAGCAGCACTGAGTCATCTCCTCACACTCTGCCCACTCGCCATCCTCCCTCCTCATCTCTGCTCTCCACCTCTCCTCCTCTTCATCCTCTTCTCCTCTCCATCCTCTTTCCCTCCTCTTCTTTTTTCTTAGCCCCCTAGTCTCTCCATGTCTTCAGCAGCATTGCCTAGTCTTTGTTCATTGTAGTGTAATGATTTTCACTGGTTAGGCTGGTCACAATAATTACTCTATTGACTTATAGTTCAATATGTGAAAGCTGGAACTATATATTTTGGGGCTCAATATTTATTGTGTGTGCAGTTTCTTTCCAATAACGGGGAGATTTTTGCTATTTTATTATTTTGTTTTATTTTTACTACAATAAGAGATGAGCTGTGGAGGTTAGACTAAATAACTTCTTAGGCTATGTATTGGTTCATTCTGCTATTTATTTGTTGCAGCTCAGGTTTTTTAATAATAGTGTTGATTCAGAAATGGTTTACTGGCTTTATCCTGCTTTATTGCTTTCTTGTCAGTGGCATAACGTAGTTTGAATATTGTCGTCTACCTTTATATGTCTATGTAGCAATCATGCTTTAAGATTTGTTTTTGTTATAAACCTACCATTGGTGCCTAAGCAGTCATTCTAAAAGTACTATTTTGATCTTTAAAGAAAACGTTGAGCTATTTTTGGGTATTTAGTATTAAAAAAGCACTATGTAGCTTTTCTATTGGAGGGTCTGTAATTATTTGTTCCCATTGAGATGTTTTTGCATTGCCTTGAAAGTTCCACAGTATGGCATAAAATTTGTCTATATCCCTGGAGATAAGCAGGAGACTCCACCAGGCATAACTGCAGGTCAGATCTGTGAAGAGGCGACCCCGCTTACAGTAAGAATGCCTGTTTTTCATGTATTTTTGAGCATAAACACACCCGTAATTGTATAAATGCAAGATAAGCCTAATGCCATGCTGTGAAACATTCATGGCAAAGCATTAACATCAGCATGGAAGCAAGTAGATAGTGGACTCCCTATCAGAAAAGTTACACAGTGCACCTTTAAACTATGACATACTGTACATAGATTATTTATAGTAAACTGCAGTACTGATTATAAATGGCTTAATAATAGAAAGTGGTCTTTTGACGTCTTGTTCAAAACTGCAGAACTGATAAACCTTCATAAGCCTTCACAGATTTCCAGATTTTCAAGTCTGTTGGACATTTTTAACCCAATACCAAATAGAGAGCATTAGGCGGAGATAAGGGAAAAAAAAACAAAAACTGACATTTTCTGAGCACTCCAGCCTCAAATGTAGGACAATGTAATTACACAAACATGGATGAATAACTCAAAATACAACTCTGAGAAAGCATAAAATGTGAGAACACCATTGTAACATGCACATTGATTTTACATAATATGTCCCCTTTAAAGATGCACTATGCAACATATCTGCTGTATGGTTTTATTCGAGACTCCACCAGACCAAGTTACAGGTCAGATCTGTGGAGCCCCTTCACTGTAAGAATGCATATTTTTGAAGCTATGAGCTATAAAACACAACACAATGCTTTTGAGATATAAACCAGATGCAAAATAAATATAGATAGGAAACAAACAGATTTCAACTAGAAAAGTTACATACTATATCTTTAATTGGTATTATATTCTATATCTTGTGCTTTGTGGTCATTGGGTGTGTTGACATTTCTTCTGTACTTGTTTTCCCTGCACTTTTCTGTAGTTGTATAATTTATTGTCCTATTTGCCTTCTGGGTTTAACACCCATCAGGATCTTAGTCAGGAGTATCTAGCTGAAGTGTTGGCTGTTGTTCATGTTTCGGAGTTGGTTTTATGAGTCAGCATGACCCACATATTTTGTTGTACCAGAGAAACAATCTAATAGCACAGTGTTTCTCAAACTGTGGGCCTCCCCCGGTCGTATGCAGGGCTGTTTACAGTTTGAGAATTTGTTTCATGTATAGACTAATTATTATTTTTTTATTTTTTTTTGCATGGCCCTTATATAAGCCTGATTGTCCAGGTTTAGGTTTGGTACTACTAAGAAAGTCAAATACTATTTTACGCAGCGATAGTATAGTAGCTCATAGATAGATAGTTGATAGTTGATAGAGTATTTGTCCAGTGATCTGAAGGTTAGTGGTTCGTATCCCGCTTTTGACATAAACACCATCATACACTGGTAGAGTTGACCCACATGTTGGCGATGTGATTCCAGCTCCTACAGATGAACGCTGTTATTGTGTCCTTGGGCAAGACACTTAACCCTCTGTGTGTGTGACTAGGTGAGTGGTTCCTTGATGTAAAGCACTTTGACTACAGGTGGGAAAGTATTGTATGACTGTAACCCTTTACCATTTGGTGTGAAAAGTTTGAAAACCAGTGAAATGGCTCATGACATTTTCAAATGACCTCAGAGCCGTCTTCCCCTGATGCGATACGCGTTTCCAAAGACACCCTCAGACTTACGTAGGTGTGGGTAATAACTGTAAATGACGCCTTCGCAGCAGCCTCACCGCTTGTTCCCACGGCAACGCTCCCTTTCACACCCATGACATCATCCATGCTCAGAACTGATGTCATTGCTTCCAGTAACATCGGCACAAGCCACGCCCACCTCTAAGCGCTCCGGGTCGCAGTAAAGTAGCCATGCATACTACTACACGCACTCTCCGATAGTCTTAAATTAATTATTGGCTATTGCTATAAAGATGCTGCGCTCTTCTCTACTGTTCTAGCCTGCTGCTGTGCCCCCCTCCCCTCTCTGTCTCTCTCTCCCTCAGGTCTCCTCTGATTGGCTGCCGGTGACATCATGAGTAGATTTGCTGGAGGTTTCTCCTTGGCGAGGCATCTGGAGCATCTCTCGGCCTCTCTCACCTTGTTACTGCAGCAGCATTACATCACTGGGCCCACTGAGGGAGGTGAGGACACTGTGTTCTCCACTGTTCTAATGAGATACACAATGGACTAGTGTTTTTACAATACTCAAATTTCAAACTGGTTTTCAATAGTAAAAACACTCTTTCTTTAGACAATAGAAAGACATTTTCAACATGGAATAATATTACTAGCGTTTATATTTCTATGTGCTGTTATATCTGTGTAATCCCTCTGTGGTCTAGGTAGGTTCCATAGTGGTGCATGGCTGTATACTAGTCTATGTGCTCTTATATTTGTTCTAATACAGCTCAAGATTATTCTCAAACTACTCCTGTGAATGTGACTTTTTAAATATTGATACTAGTTCAAATGAGCCTTTTGTTTCAATGCTGTTTTAATATTGATTAGTGTCTGATTTTGATACTTTTGACAACCATAGAGTGGACTCCGTGCCAAGGTTTAGGGCATGAAAAAAAATCAAATAGCATTTTTTTCTGACAAATATTGCACTGACATTTGAGAGAACTAATCCAAAAATCCAGTGGAATTTCAAAAGAGGTCTAAACTACACATACAAAAGGTACTGTGGTCTTTGTAGAGGACATTATTATCATACAAAGACCTCTGTGATTTAATAACTGGACGGACTCAAATAACAGTTTAGATTTGATTGCATTATATTGTGCAGCCCTAAACTGAACCCCCTATATCATCCGTATATACTATAATGAGACTTTAATTTATGATGTACTTTATTGGTAGTTTTCAGATTACAACATATGCTTATGTTTCACACTCTCGTTTGGCATTTGGGGACATGCCAGTATTAGTGTATCAGTACTAGTACTTTAATAAGACAAAGCCAAAAGTAAAATCATGAAACCAGATCAGTTAGACCAGTGATTCTAATGTATTTAGTCAACTAAGATGAGATAAGAGAACCTTTATTGGTCCTACAACGGGGAATGCAAAATACAAAAACTGTGACAATAAACATATGCTGTCAAACATTAAGATTAATAAACATGAATAAACATTTAACTAAAATATGAAAATATGCTTTGAATAACAAGATTGAGATTAGAAAATAAGATAAAACATTGCAAGCAGAAGGCAGAAGACAGAGGGCATAGCAGGTAGAGTGACTTCATAGTATTATAACAGTGCTGATTCACATGGTGATTCAATATTACACACAAATACATTACACAAGTCTATATAACTGACCACACAATTAGAAGACTAGTACTTAACACTGAATCTGTCCCCCTTATTAATCATCATAAATCCAGGTTACGCACTGTATAACATATTAGTTCAACATAAGTGTATTATTACATTAGATCAGGAGTCTCCAAACTTTTTCTTCTGGTGAGCTACCTTAACAAAAAGAAAATGCCAAAGAGCTACTAATTTTAACAGTCACAAGAAACTGAGTATAGGAAAGCCTTACATGGGGAACAGTTAGATACCTATAAAACATAAACCTTTATCAATTTATTAGTGAACAAAGTCAAAATAAAAATAAAAAAAACATCCCCGTTTTTTTTTTTCTTTGGTTTTTTTTTTGGTGCTTGTTAATAATAAAATTGTGAAAACAAGTCCAAGTGTGAAAACAATTACATAAAAAAACGCAATTAAGGAAAAACTGCAGAGACCATTCATGACTAACTTGTGAATCAGTATAGTCATATTTTCTTTGTGTTTTGGTAATTTTTAAGCATCTTTTTTGTATTTTATCTAAACAAATAACAATGTATGCCTCTCTATATTGTTGGCAGGGATGAGATTGATCAAAAATAGGGACACCTGGGACATTTGTTGATAAAATTGGGACAAAGCACTGGTTTTGGATAAATCTGCTGGGACAGGGGACACTGTGCTCAAAACTGGAACTGTCCCAGGTAAATAGAAACGTCTTGTCATCCTAAGAAAGTTAGGCATCAAAATTATACATTTACAATGGTAGTTAATCAACTCTGAGCCATTCAGTACAATACGTATAAATCAGAAATCCCTTGGTGAGCTACTTAGAAGGGGGAGGACTGCTACTGGTACCTCCTGAGCTACAGGTTGGAGACTCCTGCATTAGACTGTCTGGTTATCATGAAAATTCTAAATGTCAGAAAGCATCAACTATAGCCCTAATATTACTGAATGTGCTTATGGAATTCCTATAGTTTGCCATGTTGTATTTATTTAACAGAGATGGAAATGGTGATTCAGTAAGTTTACTTAAAATAACTTACTGATTAGCAACTTTTATAAGTGTTTTCTTTTCTTTTTTAAATAATTCTTCAGAATGAATCCTTTATGCTCTCACGAAACACTGAACAAAAACTCTCTCTGTCAAGTGAAACATTTATATTGACTTTTTTCACTTTCAAGGCCCCGAGCACTCTACATCAATGAACCTCTCACCAACTCTTGATAGAACTGTGCCATTACAAAAGCTGCTTTATTAGTGTGGTTGGTTGAGTCATTTTTTGTTTGTTTTATTTTATGCATAAAACATTTTAATGAATAAAAATAACTTGTCACGATTAAAAAAAAGAACCATTTGCCTATTTGCACACAGATTCGTAGATACAACAACCATAATTTTTTTATTCAAACAAAGAACACTTGGAGCTGCTATGATAGAAATTATATGAAGTTTCATATATACTATTTTTGTATAATAGTACGTATACAACCCAATTTGCCAAAGTTGTCACTATGGAAACTCCTTCTATTTTCATCTTTCGCAATAGTCGCTTGTGAATACTCGTAGCCAATTTCTCCTCAATGAAGTTCTATCTTATGTTGTATCTTTGAGCATTAGGTAACCCAATATGCCACAGTAGTTCAATATGAATGATTGCTGTGCTAGTTTAGTGTGCAGAAAGCGTGGAGCTGGTGCCAGTGTGCAGGCTGCCTCCTCCCACGTCTCCAGGCTGACAGACGGGCAGGCGGGCAGATGGGCGGGCGGGCACCGAGCGGAGACGTGACTGCCCGCTGCTGTGAGTAACTCCATTTAAATTTAGTGTTGACATTTCTGCGGCACCTTCACGACTACATTCTGCCAACACTTTCTCAGATGGTAGTTGCAGGCAGTTTTCCAAGAACAAAATCCACAAATGGTTTAGTTCATTTAGTCTTGGTTTTGTTATAGATTATATGTACGTGTAAGTATGAATGAAAACCCAATAACTTTCTAGTTGAGGTCCTCCACCTGCTTGTCTCCATGGTGATTGTTTTACTTGAAATATTCCACAGTGTAACATTAAAGTTTTCTATCTTGCATTTCTTTATGTGAAGGTGCATGCATTCTTATTGTGACCAGGCTCATCTCTGCACAGATCTGACCTGGTAGCGTCACCTGCTTTATCTTTTACTTTACTTTAATGCTGTACTGTGAACATTCCAGCAATGCAATAACATTTCTGTGGTGACAACCAGAAAAGTTACACAGTGCATCTTTAAAATCTTTTATTCTGCTATGCATTTTCCCCAAAGATCAATTACAAAACAGGATTGGAAAAGATGTTTTAATTAGCATCTTCTCCTTGTGTCTATATTAGGGGTGTGCAAAAATATCAAAATATCGATATATATTGTATTGTTTGATGTGATGATACAGTATCGATATCGTGGGCTGCTGTATCAATAAATCACCAAGAGTATTTTTTTGGTATATTTTACTAAATTATTTTATTACAGCTACAGTTTTGTTGCTTGTTCAGAGGAAGGGAACTCATTTATGTGACACATTTGACATTTTCTCTGTTTTGAGAATTAAAATGGGATTTTTTCATATTAACTTTGCACAAGAAGTGATTTAACGAAGACCTTTAGTATCACAGCCATCTATTTTATATTGAACCGTATCGAATCAATTTGAACTATATCATATTGAATTGAAAATGCACTGTATCGAGATATGTATCGTATTGTGGCCTATGTATCAAGGTATGTATTGTGTATTGATGATATGAATGATACCCAGCCTTAGTCTATATGAGTTTTCACTGGGTACAAGTCATGTAAAATTAGCTGGTACTTCAACTAGGTAGTATTAACCAGGATACTAGCTCAGTAGATCTGGACATGAGTCTCTGGGTGCTACACTGCAGTCACCCACTGCTCCTGTCAGGTTACATTATAGTCACAGTGATGGTAGTTTCAAACACGGAACACAAAATGCCTTATTGCGAAGTGACCTTTACCATTTTGAAGTTACATTTGTAGAATAAGATGATGTTTGCGTCTCAAATAGGCAATGTTTGTATGAAGCATGGTTTTGAATCATATTTCAGAACATTTGTACAGATCAAAATTCTAAGATCTAATCTTTCAACATGGCAGGATATTTAGTTGTGGATGCACCAATCTAGCTTTTTCTGTTCCGATACTGTTGTCAATACTTTTAAGTACCTGCCAACACCCAATATCAACCAATACTAGGCAAAGACTGAAAATAGATTTCCTTTGAACATAAAGGGCATGTTGTAAAAAATTATCAAAATGTGCCTTGGTGTTTTGTGACTGTTACTTATCATTTAAAGTCAATTTTGCAAGGTGTTTTGGCCCAGTAAATCGTCTTTTATGGACCAAAATGGGATATCGACTTGGATTTTCTACATCAGCGCCAATATCTGATACTAGGATTGTATCTGTGCATCCTTAGAAACTATGGTGCTTCAAAAATTGCAGCCTTTGCAATTTCCTCATTGCCTCCATTCAATTTTTTATTGGATTTCAATTAATCTTGGATCCCTAATGCAGACATATGTTTACCAGTTACACAAATATTAAACTACAAACCAGGTTACAACTATATTTTGACATTTTAACAACCCTTCCCCATTAAAATCCCTCTTTCTAGCTCATCCCCTCTGACAGAACAATGATGTCACCTTTTACCGCTCTCTGTCAGGGTGCTGCTGTTTTGTTTTTTTTTTTGTTTTTTTTGTCTCAACCCCCCTAACCATCCCCTGCTCCCCTCCTCCCTCATCCCCCATCTACCCTTCCGAACCAATCAGGAGCCAGCGCGTGTGCCGGCCAATGGGAGGGCTCCGCGGTGATGTCATGTTGTAGGGAGCCTCGAGGTGCTGCTGCAGAATCCAACACTGACCAGAGGAGAAAGCAGCGCAGGGTGAGTGTCCCGAAATTTTCTACCAATTTCGTAACATCATATCTTATTTTCAATTCATTTTACACTTTTGTGCATTCAAGGTGGTTGCATGTTTCTTATTTTTTACATGAATGCATTTAAAAAAAATCTTTATTGCTGAATCTAGTGATAGAAAGTATATATTTTCGTTTAAATACTCGTTTTAAAGTTGTAAGTCTGCAGAGTAAGTAGCAACATGCAATTTGTTTCCTATATTGCTGCACCTTCTGCTTGTTATGTTGATGTAGCTATAGATTTCTTATTGTATTCATTTCAAAGCATATATATAAAGTGTAAGAAATCTGGAATTTAATCAATAAATAAATAGCTTAAATTTAAAAGAAGTTAGAATTATAATAATGATAATAGCTAAACTGTGAACAATCTGTACTTGGGTTTGTTTGTGCACTATAGCTCGTGGTTGCAGAAATAATGACATCATCCTTAGAGGCTCCCACTGCTGCGTGTTAGAAATGTTCCTTACAGTTGGGTTCCCTTTTTGTGTTGTGCTAATCCAAAAAGTTTAAACTTGAGGAGGAAAGCTGCTTTAGTACAATGCAGATTTTATGACCTGGTTTCATTATCAAGCCTTTTCTTATGTAACAAAACTGACAGTGTGGATTTATTTTGCTTTGATAGTCACTAGAAATGATATCAGAGGTTAGGTATTTTCTTTTTAAACCAAATTTTTGACATTTGGGATTGAGATTGGTGCACCATCCATAAAGTTCTATTGGCCCCTGCCCGTCCAGATGATATTATGGTGTCATCAGATTGTGATTGGTTAGGCTACAGTAACTTTGAGGCTGGTTGTTGTCAGGAGGGACTTTGCGATATTCAGATCCATATAAAAGCTATTTCTGATTATCTTTATGTTTCAAACTCCGTGCATCTAATACTGTAATTCTGATTTAAAGGACAGACCAGTTTTATTTTCACATAAATGATGCATGGTGACTTGTTCTGAGGAAGTAATATTTATTTGGACCACAGACCTAAAATGATTTGCTTTGTTTGTCTGTCCACTTGCTTTTGCACATAAAATTGCACATTTCATTTTCTGAATCTGATGCTGAATCTTAAGTTATCCAAATTCAAAATCATAACAATATCAGCATGAGATTATGAGTTCACCAGGTATAACATAATCTCAAATTGTTTAGTTTATTACAGTATAGGTACACAAAAAATGCTGATCTGATTGGTCAATGGGTCATTATTGCATAACCTCTCTTCTGATTGGCCCGTTGCAGAGGCTTGGTCTAGGGTTCAGGATGCTGTAAGCCTTTTGATTAAACAAGAAAGAACATTTTAGAACATTTCTAGCTGTTATTTACACCCTTCTGTATTTTTATGTTGTATTTTATTCAATAGTGGTACACATATTGAATTAGTTCATTAGTGGCTCTCGCTCTCAGATTCTAAAATGTGATGATGTCAGTCTTCTAGATGAGGGCAATTGATTACTATTGATCGTACTTCGCCATAAAATATGCATCCTAAAGGAATATCCTAAAGGAAAATTCCTGTGTTGAACATGATCATTTATATTAGTGACTAGACCCAAGAACTCACTGGATTACAACACACAAGTCTGCATTTTAACAATATGCATTTTAGCTCCCTCCATCTGTATTAAATATTGTTGTGGTGTTATAGGTAGGGTTCATCATAAACTTTCATTGGATATAGACTGCATTCATGCTCATCTTGGTTTCATCCCTACTTTGGTCCTCTTAGTCCTGGTTTAGTTCTGGATTGATGCCTGTGTTCCAAAATGAGTGTGCAGTGTTACATTTCTGTCCTTAACACTAATGGGTCAGTGTGAATGACTAATCCTGAGTGTTTCTATTTCAGGAGCAGCCCACGACACCATGACTCTAACAGGTACGCTCAGAGCTCAGAGCTCACATAAGACTTCACTTACTTCCTCTTTTTGAAAGCTACTTTGTGTTCTGTGAAAGTTCAGTATTATTAGCGCAACTGGATTTATTTATTTTTAGCTCCAGTTGACCTTATAATATTGTTTTGAGAAATCATTTAATTTTGTCATTACATTTTTAGTGTGCTTTTTTTCTTTCAATTAAACAAATGCCATAGGAATGTATAGATTAAATCAGATGTGTCCAAACTATGGCCCAAATGCAGCCCTCAGTTTAGTCCTCAGGCCTCCTACTGATCCTAAGCAGAACTTTTTACTGCAAATGCTGGCAAATTTAGGTAATTCTACCACTATAAATTCAATGACATCGCGTTGCACTGTGACTATGCCTTATTATAGGCTCTGTGGTTCTGTCATAGCCATGTTTAATGCTCCCATCTGAATGATTTGTTGTATTGACCCCTGGTCTGTGGCCCTCCTCTTTGAATACATTTACATATGTGACTTTCAGTGAAAACAAGGTGGACACCCCTGCACTAAATCTATACATGAATACATTTAGTTTGCCATGTGTGAAATTGCTGTTCTCAAATAATGTGACTGGTTCAATAGAAAATATACATTTGCATATGTTATGGGCACTATAGGAGTATGTGGCAAATAAGTCAGATTTGTTAAGAATCTAATTGCTTGTCTCTATTTCTCCTTTCTGTTTAGTGCTTATGTTATGTTTTGCTTTGTTGTTTTTTTTGTAATTTTCACCTACAAAACATCACCTTAATATAGTAAAAATATATTTTTCTGGGCAGTGCTTGTCCCTCACCTGTGGCTCTTGTGTGTTGCAGCCTACAGAGAGAAGATGCGAGAGCTCCCCCTGGTGTCTCTCTTCTGCTCCTGCGTCCTGCCTCAGCCCAAAGACCCTCCCAGAGACAAGATCGATGGTGAGTCATATCTGATATTGAAAAATCAATTTGTGGATCTCTTTGACAGTACAAAATAGAAACTGTCAACTGGAAACTAAGAAAATGTGCAGTCTGTAGTAATATGTTTATATCACGTGATTTTATAAATTTTCAGTAACTGATTTTAAGGGAGATTGTAATGTTTATGTTTTCTCCAAATCACTTTTCCCACCACATTCAGCAATCTTCAGCTGAACTTGGACCTACTGTTGTTTATACATTTTTCAGATTTTGTAACAGGCAATGTATGCAATTTGGGACATTTTATATAAACGGCATAATTCACAAATAACATTGCAGTTAATTAACTGTACTTTACAACCTTATTTATGACCCTATATTTGAGTTTCACATTTATATATTTAAAGAGTCACTATCTAGCTTTTCTGGGGGGTAGGGCTCTGCCATCTGCTTCCTCCAGGTCTCCATGGAGACTTTACCTTTTTGCCTGGTATGATCTACTGTAAAATCTACAATGTGGCATTATTGATACTTTGCAGTGATATCACACTGGGGAATACTACATGTATGTAGCGGAATGTTTAGCAGTTACCATGGGTATACAGTGCACACCTTAGCAAAAAGTCAAAAGATTATCTGAAAACTCAAGAAAAAATACAAAATGGATTTGAACAACACATTTTCAGGAGCCTGTGATCAACACGAGCGTTCATGATCCTGTTTAGGTTAGTTAGAGTTTTATTTTCAGCAAAAAAGATCAAAGTGACTAACTGAAAAATTAATGTCTAATGCTAGCTAGATTAGTGTAATACTTAGTGTAACTGTAATTTTATTGGAGAGGGATTTGTTTAACAGCACAAATCATCTCAGCACTTGTAGTTCCAGCTAAGTCAGTTCTTTATGAACAGACTGTGTAAAAACAAAGCTCTAACCTGAGTAACAGAGCTTCAGGCAGAGCAGTGCCTACAGTTAGCATCACACCCACAGAGAATGTTGATGACATCAGCTGCAAAGTGTCAAAAAAATCCATCCTCTTTTTATTCCAGGTGTTTTGATTAAAAAAAGTCAGACTTGCAACTTGGCTTAGTGGCATCATCTTCTTGTCTCATTGGAGAAAAGACATGACAAGTTAGATGTTACATAATGACCCTTTAAATAAAATGAATTTGCTCAGACTGAAAAATCCTCATCTTCTGTCCTCTGTGGTGTGCAGGTGTGGTGGACCTGAACCTGTGCAGTATCCGTGACATGGAGGTGATTGAGCTGAGTAAACGTTCTAGCGGCCAGGCCTTCGAGGTCATCCTCAAGCCCCCCTCCTTCGATGGGGGTCCAGAGCTCAGGGTGACCACCCCACCTCGGCCCAAACCCTCCCTGGAGGAGATCCAGAAGAAGCTGGAGGCTGCTCATGAGAGGAGAAAGGTATTGAAGATTATAATTATAATGCATCTGATGAAGTCATATGGACAGGACATTTTATTCTAACATCATTCATGTGTTTTTGTAGTGCCAGGAGGCCGAGCTGCTCAAACATCTGGCCGAGCGCAGGGAGCACGAGCGAGAAGTGGCCCAGAAAGCCTTAACCAAAGAGCGCCAGGAGCACCCGCACAGAAACATGCACCTGAACGCCTCACAGGAGCAGCCTCAGGTCAGTGCTATATGGAGTGTATTGAAGAAAGTATACAGGAGAGTATTGAAAGTAACAATGTTTATGCAAGTTCAATTTAGATCAAGTAAATGAAAAGAAAAGATCCAATGAACAGCAGTGCTATAGTAACTGTAGAGACATATAGTGGGCAGGACATAGAGCATTAGAGCTTAGTCAATATAATGCCTGCTCAATGCAATGTAATGGCTCTGTGACTAATATTGACAGATATTGCCGATATGATAACTATCACACCTGGCGATGTTATGCCTGGTTTTACACAAGTTGGCTGGTTGAGTATCAGCATTTCCAAAATATTTAATATCGATTTGGCATCGGCACGTAAAATTCCTGTCCCTAGTAAAAGATAAGATACACCGTTATTGTCTCCAAATGGATTGCATGTCTCCAAATTGCCCTAAAAGTGCAGTTAATATTCCACTCCTCTATTTGTACCCATGTAGTTACTATGCCACTGTAGTTGTGTTATAGTCATTTAGGTGCGGAAGGTGAGGCATGTAGTGGGCCTAGTCAATAGCTAGTGGCAGACAGTGTATAGAGTTGTGTTTATAGATTCCTATTTCCTTTTCTAATCTCTCATCTCTCATTGTAGGTGTCATGATGGCCTGATCACAACACAAGCTGAACATTCATGGAAGCCATTTTGGAGGCTGACGAGGAGACAGTTGCACTAGTGACGCTGTGCTCATACTGGGGCGGATCTTTGCCCAGTGGCAGTGTTGTCTCTGCGGGGACAGCTCTGAGGACTCATGCAGGACTCATGCGGGACTCATGCAGGACTCATGTAAGACTCATGTAAGACACTACTGTACCACCAGTGCCACGGCTGCCTGACATGTGTGTACATAAGGAGGCTCTGTGGTCTGTGTCCCTCATGCTCTGACCCATCCTACGCTCACTGTGACCCAGGAGCAGAAAGGGTAAAATGTACAGCTATCCTGACATATGACCCACAAGAGATGCCCACACTGGAGGATTTACTTGATGTGTTTCTTTAAAAGGTCCTGTATTATGCATTATTTAGTCTTTTAAACCTTTTTTTCTGCCACAGACTGATTTAACGTCAGATAACATTTTCATGGACCAACTGCTCAAAACAAAATTGATCTGCAGGTACCAAACGACATGCCCAGGGGTTGGGACCGCTGATTTGAACTACTTATCTGTCTGTATCTGTCTGAGGCACTGCACAGTAGGGTTGTCAGAGCTATCAAAAATTAGATTCCAATCGATATGAAAAGTAGTACTGAAAATAGATACTTATTTGTGCTGGTATCAAAAGTCACATTCACAGGACAGAACTGGACCTGTTCTTGATTTTGGGCTTATCAGAACAAGTTTAAGAGCACACCGACTAGTATACACCCATGGACCACTATGGAACCTACCTGGACCACTGAGGGATTACACAGATATAAGGCTAAAATACACTATTACGGAATGTTGAAAATAACATTCTATTGTGTTAAAAAGGTTTTATTATCATCAGAATCGGTATCGAGTATCAAGTCTCTTCTCTAGTATCGTAATCAAGTTTGAAGTTTTAGTATCATGACAACACTACTGCACAGTAAGTAGCTAAAAACAACAGCAACTTGCATCAAAGTTGCATAATTGTGAAAATCTGAGCACAAACATTTACAGATCAGGCTTGTTTTCGATGAGAAACGTTTTGCATATTATAGGACCTTTATCAGTTGATTTATGTCCATATTTATTTGCAAATAAAACACACATTTTAGTTTTTTTTTGTTTTTTTTGTTTTGTTTTTTTTTGCCAAACTTTTGTGAAATTTCCAATTGAATAAAACCTGAACACCCAAACTCTGATATTGAAACTTGAAATACACAAAGTTCAGTAATGTTTATTGGTTTGTCTTTATTCTTGTTTTCAAATGGCAATTATTAGACATTTCCAGTTGTCTGTGTGAGATCTGGTTTGAGGTGTATGTTATCTGAGCTGAAAGGATGTGGTACTACTCAAATATTACCAATAAATATAATGTACAGAGATCATATTATATTTTCAAAACTCATAATAAAACTATACAATGATGACAGTTGTTTCAGATTTTTATTCCAAGGAACACCTCACACATATATGAGAATAAATATATGTTTAGCAATAAATATGAATAAATAACTTTAAATAATGTGATAAATACAATTTCAAATGATATACCTTAAAAAAAAAAATACTAAACAGAGCGTGTTTACAGGACTGCAGCAGGATACACAATGTAAAGCTACTAGGAAATTGAGTATGTTAATTTAAATGCATTCACATGTTACATTTCTATTGTTTTAAATGTTAAATTATAAAAGTTCCCGATGTAAAGCAGCCAACAGCCTGACATGATAGTGTTAAACGCTCGCTCTCTAAAGGTGCGCTATGTCACTTTTCTGGTGAATGGTATGTCACATGCTTGTCTCCATGGAGATGTTATTTCTTAGTCTGGAATGTTCCACAATATGGCATTAAACATATCTATATTGGTGGTTTTCAGATTGCAGAATGTGATGATGTCATACTCCCAGATGAGAAGCAAAAGGCATTTTTTCCTATTGATTATATTGTACTTTCCCATGAAATATTCAAATGGTAAGTTCACAAATTTTCTAGAAATGACTAGGCCCTTAAACTCACTCTATTGTAACAAGAATCTGCATTTTAACAATATTAATTTTAGCTGCACCCATCTATTATAATATATATATATATATATATATATATATATATATATATATATATATATATATATATATATATATATATATATATATATATATATATATATATATATATATATATAGATAGATAGATATATAGATAGATATAGATATATAGATAGATATATAGATATATAGATAGAACATTGAATGTTATCAACTGCAACTGCAAAACATGCATTCTTAATGTGAGCGGGAGCACCTCTCCAGAGATCTAATCTGGTATTTGGGCTGGATGGAATTTTACCTGCTTGTCTCCATGGAGAGACAAGTTTGATGCCATACTTTGGAACATTCCAGGCAAAGCATTAACATCTCTGTCTCTCCACCATTAAGTTTACATAGTGCACCTTCAAACAACACAATACTGACATAAATTCTTACATTGTTGATGGACACAGTGATTGAGTTTGTCCCTGCTCTGTACTCTGTCCCTATGTCCTCACTGCTGGTGTTGGACCAAGGGTTGGACACAGGTGCAGCCCACAGCAAGGAGGCGTGGCTCCAGTTTGTAGTGGTAGGTTTGGGATTTGGAGGAGCGCACCCTCCTCAGGAGCAGGATCTCATGTACGATGGGTCTGGACTCTAGGCTCAGGTCCTCTTGGCCCTCTGAGTTCAAACAGCCCTTCAGGAGGCAGCGAGCCTCTGACAGGTGGGATGGGAACAGGGAAGTATCATGGGTGTGACTGCAGACAGAACAAAGACTGTTACAATTTACATGTACTAACTGGAGATAGCCATCATACTTTTAGGTCTGTTTCACAATGTAATGTTTATTAGGTGGAGTTTTCAGTAAAAAATACTTCTGCTTAAGATCATTTGGGCCAATTCAGCAGGAGGCCTGAGGGCTAAAATAGGTTCTGACTACTACTACTCGCCTAACCTGAACCTGTCTCAACCTTTCTCTGATTTGGTCTAATCCAGTGAAGGATTTATGTCATCAGAACCTGATTTTTGTCTCCATATGAATGGAAGCTGTCCCATGAATATAGTGTATACTGATTTTTGTCCCCACACTGTGGCAAATATCCAGCACATGCACACACAGTGTTTGGACTAGACTGAGGCTAAACCTAGAACTAAACCAGGACTGCATGAGGACTAAACCAGGACCAAAACAGGACAAAGCAGAGTGTTCTTGGCAGATACGTCCCTGCTAATTTCTACCAACAACCTCTCTAACCACCACCACCAGTCACTTCACACTTTTGCATGGTTGGTATATTGCACACTGGTAAATCCAGAATGTTTCAGTGGCTTTCTTTCTATGCATACCAAAAAGCTGATCATTGTCTGATTTCTGGAGTTATCGCATTACGCAAATGTCATGTAAACAGTTACACTTCTTCATGCACAAGTTAAAATGAGGAAAAGTATAGAAGATAAATTAATGAGTCAAAAACAAAAATGAAAGAGAAATAGTTTTTGATTATCAGATTTCTTTTGTGCAGGTAAACACACACCAAAAATCGGATCTGATTATTGGGTTATCTGATTATGCTAGTCCATGAAATCTTACTTGTAGGTCCAGGGGGAGATGGAGGAGTTGTGCAGGGCTCTCACAGCAGGCATCGAGTTCATTGCTTGGGGGTCCAGCTGTAGGGGGACCATGTCTTTAGACATGGGACACATCTTGTCAGGGTGGTCACTGAGTCTTGGGATTCTAGCTCCTTCTGTCCCTGCCAGTACCATCATCACCAGGAAGAATGCACCAAAAGTCTGAGGAGCAAAGCAGAACAAACTAGTGAGGATGTGAAAAATACAAAAATGATCAAAATGGAAGCATCATTTTAAAGACCCTGTACCTGATTTTGAACATGTTTTAGTTTGAACCTTTAACGCTGCCCACTTTGTCTTTTCTGCCACCATGCACTATGACACAGAAGTAACTGTCTAGGCTAATGACATACAACTGTTTCCTCATTGTTCTCAAATCTCTGCCCACTGTTTGCTATTTTATCATGAAAATACATCAATAGAAGATCATGTCAAAGTTTCCCATAATTGGGTGAAAAAGCTGAGCCTGTCAGTTGTGTCTGTCTTACTTGTAACCTGAGAAAATGTCATGTAAAATCAATTACATTTGACAGTCTCAGTTATTTTCTTATTTAACAACTTTTATCATACAATGCATGATGTATTGCAAGAATCAAATAAAATCAGACACATGCCTTTTAACATAAATGATCTACTGACAAAGACAAAGCTGGTGTGCTCAAAACAAAAGCGAAACCATCTGCCTGCTCATTGGATTTATGATTGCAGCATATGGTACAATGTAATTTATTGCTAGTAATGTGTGAAATAGCATCTGGAGCGTTAAAGAGTGGTTCTTTTTCAGACAAAACTTTTTCAGAAAACTACACCCAAACTTCCTATTCACAGGGACTTTAATCTCATACACTGAAATATTCTCTGTGTAATGTAAAAGAAACAATCAAGAGTTAATAGTGAATCCCAGCAAGGATGCAATGGCAAAGTAAAAGTAAATACACTGACCTAAAACTCCCTTAAAGGCCATACTGTATGCATATTCTTTTCATGTATTCATGCAAGTCAAGTGTTGATTTGAATATGCCAGCTGCTTGTCTTCATGAGGATGTTATTGCTTTGCCTGGAATGCTCCACAGTATGGCATTAAACCTATATATCTCCTTGGAGATAAGCAGGTGATGCCGCCAGGCCAGGTTACAAGTGTGATCTGTCAGAAGGGTATTTTTTGAGCAGGAAAACCATTTGTAATTAATTAATCAAAATTGATAATGCCATACTGTGGAAAAGGAATTTAGACTGGTTCTCCCTGTATATTCTATACAGAAGATGTCACATCTTTGTAATATTCTTGGCTGGCCAGGAAAGTAGCCACCACCCTAAAGGTTATGTGGTTCACCTTATTTGTATAAAGTGCTACAGTTTTCAAACCCTTAAATGACTTGTCTAAGCTTGTTGTGCTAAACAATTCTTAAGTAAACACTTTCCATTAAACAATTTAGATAAGATAAAACATTTTTGAAAAGTTAAATTAGAATTTAATATTGACATCAGTAGTGCTCTCTCAGCTCTTTCTGACCCATACCTCACTCACTACACAAATGCCAGTGACTACACCCTACTCTTGAGTCTGTCAGTGAACATACCTTGAAGCAGGTGGGCGCCATGGTGGTGGTCTTTTTAGCACAGTGTCTGTCGGGCTCCGTGGGTTCAGCTGGGGCTGGGCCTTTCTGCTTGTGTGGTGTCAAGGCTCACCCTTTTATTGGGAGAGCCTGGTACTTGGTGTTTCCTGTGATGATGTAACGGCCTTTCTTGTGTCTTACTTTCTTTGAACCCACACACACCACGTCTGACCCACTTTTACAAAGCACATCGTCAATTGGATGCTCAATTTCTGATGCATTCTCTGAAAATCTGAGCGTTTGAAAACAGTATACATGACGTGCTCAGACAGTCAGCACACACACTCACAGGGTCTTTCATGTATCTGTGTCACAACTCCAAAAACGTAATCTTTAAGATTCATCAATTCATAGTTTACTTTGAATTTAATCTTAAGAATCTATAAGAGTATGAATGGAGGTTACGCTGAACATGGGTCACCGTGTTCAGAGTGTTCCACCTCGCTATGTGCAAAAGGTAACTGTTCACAGGAAAACTACTATTTTAAGATATTACACGGTGACACAAAGCATTTTGAGCATTGGAGATATAGACAGACCAATAATAAAGGGTTACTCAAATTTGTGAATGAAACAAAACAGAACAAAGCCAGGATCATATAGTACAATAATAAAAACAACAACAACAACAAAAATTTAAAAAAACAATTATATTTAGTTTATTTATTTGATGAAACAGGGACTGTGCACACTATACATTCATTTTAACATGACAAATGCATTGTTCCATGCTGTGGTATGGCGTTTGCATGTTCTTGGATTTCCTCTACACACAGTTCATTTTTCCCCACTGACTCAAAACATGCACAAAAGGTCTCATCCTCCAGGTAAGATAGTGCTGACCAGAGTTCCCAGATTGTGAATTTTGACAATGGCAATAAAGCTTACTCTGATTCTAACAGACTACCCCAGTGACATTGCTTGAAGGATGGGTCAAATGCAGAGAAAATATACCTTAACCAAACCTTCATCAGTGTTAACTCATGCTACCTTAACTAGTGCTAATTTTCACCCGAAGATTATGTTCAATATACACAGGGGATATTTTACTAACCAGGCTGGTGCCACCCAGTGCCTCTGCTCAATTTCATTTCTTTCCACTGACTAGGTCAGGAATCGGAATAAACTAGATGGTTCGCAAAAATCCCGGAAGTGGAAGTTCGGGCACCAGTCAATCAGCGAAGAGCCAAAGATTCTGTATTGTCAACAATTCCCAAGATCGAGAATTTAAAGCCGGAATAAATAAAATGTTTGGTGAATTTTATCAAGGGGAAAAACATCCTAGAGGATTTGGAAACAGCTTAATATAGGGGTTAGCCCAGTTAGCAGCGCATTACATACATCACAACCAAATAGCAGCGATTGGTTAAATAAAAAGTACCTGCGTACCATAGAGCAAACTAATTCTTTCTTCGAAGTGAAACCGGCGAATGAATCGGCTAATATTTCACTTTTTTGGGACTTCTATGTTAACACATATAGATCACCATGTTACCTTTTATTGTTTTGAAAATGCTATAATTTCTAAAAACAACATCTTAACATGTTTCATAAGATTCACTTTTGGTGTTGATGCTCTGAGTCTCTTCTGCCTTTGCTCCCCATGCAAACTCACTCCCCCTTCAGAGAGCTATCACAACACATTAATGAAACTACTGTACCTTGTATCAGATTTTATAGAGTTGTTATGTACAGTTTTCTATTATACTTTTATATTTATGGAGAATTGTCATGTGAGAGGATGGGTGTTGTTAGCCAGGCTTGCGCCACCTAGTGCCTCTGCTCAGTTTCATTTCTTTCCAGCAACTAGATCAGGAATCAAAATACACTTGACGGTTTGCAAAAACCCTGGGCACCAGCTAATCAGCGAATAGCCATATATTCAGTGTTGTCAACGATTCCTGAGATCGAGAATTTAAAGCTGGAATAAAGAGAATGTTTGGTGAATTTCAGCAAGGGGAAAGTCATTATTGCCCTTCTTCCTATGGGATTTGGGAAAAGCTTAATATACCAGTTAGCCCTGTTAGCAGCACATTACATACGTGAATCCTAATGCTGCGAGGTCAGACGGTTTCTATGACGTGAAACCGGCTGATGAATCAGGCTAGGGTGTTGTAGGCTTGTGGGCTGAGCACAGAATCTTAAAGCTAACCGAAAGAAGGGTTTGAATAGTACATTTATTCATACAATGCTTTTCACAGATAAAAATTATAGCATGCTTTACAGAGAGCAGGAACACAAAATAAACAACAATACAGGCACATCTGAAAAAATTTGAAGATGGATATTACCTATGGTGCATGTTTTTTGGGTTGATGGGGAAAACCAGAGAGAGGAAGAAAACCCACCCAGACAAGGGGAGAACATGCAAACTCTACACAGAAAGGTCTGGGTGATTTGGCGATCTTGCTGTGATGTGTGAGTGTTAGCCACTCAGCCACAGTACAGATTAAACCATGCATTAAGCACTATGCTACATTACATTTCAGAAGCGACTCTCCCCTATATTCACAGAAGGAATTATTGTATTTTTGAGCAATAGAAACACCCGTAATGAATAAACACATGATGGATATGTTTAATGTCATACCATGGGACATTCCACACAAAGCATTCAGATCTCCATGGTATGTAGCGGACCCTAAACCAGAAAAGTTGTAGTGCACTTGTGATTCTTTTTTTTTGATGTATGTGGATTAATAAAGTATCTATCTATTTATCTATCTATCTATCGATCTATCTATCTATCGAAAACCCCTACAAACCTGACCACTGAGACTCCTAACCTGGATTTTACTCAAAATCTTTCAGCACCTGGCCGTCTCAAAGCTCCGCTGCTGCTCTGTCATTGCTGCTGTGACCTGATTTACAGTCGTGTTGTGAGTAAACCCAGTGATGAGCGGCATAGTGACAGCGAGGAGTGAGGTAGACCCACGCGCCTGCTCATTTGACCCGCTTTGATCCGTATCTCTGATTTACAGTTTAGATAAACATGTGTATCTTACTTCACACGCCATTCAGGAGCACCCCTAAGATTAGGCCTATTCTAACCGACAATTGCGGTTTTTCACACAGCTGTTTGTCTATAGTGAGTAGAGATGGCTTGTAGGTTTAATAGTTTTAGATGAATTGCACAACTATTGTAATATTGACTCAGCTTGGTGGGATAGTACCTGCGGCAAATATTTAGCAAAAAAGGGGGGAAAAAATTATACAGGAAGTTGCAGTGAGTTCTAACACGGAATAGCTATACCTGTGTCATCAATGCTGAAAATTCCATCCAAAATGCACACTTGCATGCAAGGAGGGTATTTTGCTGACATTAATTAAACATTCATTTAACAAAATAATGGTGTGGCAATTCATTTTATTAGACAATAATGAAATAATAACTATTGTCCATATAGACAAGTCCAAAATTATGGCTATACAGTAGGTAACAGTTGTGGTATTATCTGTAAGTATGATATATCTGTTGCCCATGTCCAACCAAAAGTAAACAACAAAAACCTCACCAAAATAGAAAAAAATGCTGTTTTTTCTCATGATTGACTGGCAACATCTGCAGTGGAGTAGCTGCAAATGATGAAGGGAGATTGAATTTCTCCAGGGATGCAAAGAATCACAATAATCCAAATTTGCACCTGTTTATATCAGATGTTGAGCTCTTTTTGCTTCAGCTGCAGAACCATGACTGAGCATGTTTGTCATTCTAAGATGAAAGCTCTGAATAAAATGATTGCACTTGTGCCATGTCAGGATGAGGCCAGGGGTGAACAGAGAAACTACAAATTGAGAGTAACATTATAATAAATAATAATAATAATTAGGGCTGGGCAAAAATAATTTTTTAAAATTGCGATTAATCACATGAGTTCGAGCGATTAATCGCGATTAATAGTGATTAATCGCATGTTTTACGCAAAACCAATTAATGAATTAAATTGTAGAGTATAGCGCACTTTTATTGGAAATGTAAATGAAAGAGACAAACATTTGTTGTGCAAACAGCATTTCTTTCACAGGGGAACCTCAGAGCCTTCAAGGTATTCAGGGAAGGCTCAAGAATAAATATTGAATGGACGTTTATACTACTAATATATTTTTTGAATATTTTTTATGCTGTGAGTAATGAACACTACACTAGTAATAATTTCTAGATCATTGTTATAAACTTGGACTGATATTTCTTAGGAAACAAAGGGTTAATACAATGGAATGGAAATGGACCAATCACATTTTTTCTTCCAGTGGTATCTGGGTAAATCAGTTACTCCAGCACTGAACTAAAGAAATAAGCTCAGCTCAGAGCGCTGGCCAGCCCTAATAATATTAATTATAAATAAATAATATTACTCAAGTAGAAGTACAAAGTAGTGATCCAAGAAATCAAAGAAATCAAAAGAAAGAAAAAATAAGGTATAAAAAAACAACAACAACAGATAGATACAAAGTATAAATACAAAAATGAGAAGGACAGATAAAAAAGTAGAAAAAAATAATCATATCGGGAGATGGGGTCAAAATACTAAATGTTCAAATAATTTAATATTGTCAGTTTCAACATAAAACTTTTGTCACTTGTAGACTTACTCACAGTGGAAAGAGTACTGTTACTTCAATAAAAATATTACTCTAGTAGGAGTAAAAGTATGCTACTAGAAATTTACAATTTATTTTAAAAAGTTACTCAAGTAAATGTATCTGAGTAAATGTAATTGAGCAATACACAACTCTGGATGAGACCAATTATTTGTAAGAATTTGCTTGCATTTTGTTTAATTGCAGAATGTTATGGCAAACCTCTTGATTTCATAGACAAGAATTTGAGAGATACTGTCATTACCACTTAAGAGGGCCATAACGTTGTGTACTGTGGATATACAGTGCAGTACCTCTGTATTATGTCAGGCAACATCAGTAAATTGCATCACAATAGTACTGGTCCAAAACCACACCCCTGGGTGATACCATCAATTTACAGAGAGAAATCATATTGTCATAAACCTCAGGGTCAACTGCTGAATACAGTTATGACTGTGCATGTCAGTAGAAAGCAGGGTTCTCAACAGGCTGACATGGACTTATCTGTTCAAAGATAAAACTAATGAGTAATTTTTAACTGGAGCCCAATCTCTCATATGGTACAATGTTCTTGGAATGCTTGGTGTGGTACTGTTGGAAAGGCCCTATGTGAGTGGACCGGGGCCGTCCCCCTCTCTGCTGTGGTCTGTGAGGAACCAAACCACTGTACCTCCAGAAACTGAAACGTCATTCTGATGCTGGTGGAAATGATGAGCAATTAAGCAATCGTAATAAAAAAAGATGAATATAATGCAATGTTACAAATGACGTTATTGGTGGTAGAAGCACTGAGACATGCAACTGAACAGACATTAGTTGTGCTGCTTGAAAATATTTCTCCAGAACAGAGTTGCCGTTGAGATCTCTTTGTTCTGTACCTCCTCCCGGAGAGTAAAATAAAAAAAACAAAAAACATGACATTCAATATCACTTTTATGCATATTGTCAAATTTACCTGCCACTCAAAAACTTGCTTCTGTCCTGTTGACTTGTCTTAGTGACGTCAAGGCTTGGTTGGCCCACAACTTTTTGAGTCTAAATGAGGGCAAAACTGAGGTCATTGTGTTTGGCAATACAGACCTCCTCACTGACCTGGGTCCACTGAAACAGCATGTAAAACAGTCTGGCATCACTAGTTAGAATGATTTTAAATTTGATTAACAATTGAACATGGTTGTTAAATTCATTTGTGGCTTTATCTAAATTTTTTAAATCTTTTAAATCATTTGAACAGGTCATGTGTGCTTTTAATCTCCTTTCGTTTTGAATATTATAATGCACATTCTCATTCCACATCCTCTGGCATTATCCACCATGCACTATCTTGCTCAGTTGTTACAAAATTGTGCTGCTCAGCCAAACCAAAAAATCAAACCAAAAAACATCAGCAGATTATTCCGATTGAAAAGTCATTACACTGGCTTCCATTTGGTTTTTGAATTCAATTTAAGATTTTATGGTTTGTTTTTAAAGCGTTCCTAGGGCCAACTCCAGCTTGTGGTGTCTAAAATGAGATTTAAATCCAGGAGGGACAGGGCCTTCTCTGTGGCAGGCCCTAAGCTCTGAAACGCTCTGCCTTTTCCACCTCCATAAAGCCCCTACAGTGGAGTCTCGTCTCTCTGGCTCTTAACACCACATGTTGTGTGGTCCTCTGTGTCTTTTATTATTTTTTTATGTATAGCTCTTTTATGATGTTTATGGTTCTGCTTTTATTAGATTTTTACAGGTTTTATTGTTTTAGGACTGGTATGATTGTTGTCTTCATTTTATGATCTCTGTACAGCACTTTGGAAACTGCTTGGTTTGTAAAATATGCTATATAAATAAAGTGGATTTGGATGTAAAAGAAGACAAACTTTTAATGCACATAAATGCACATGATTTTTAAAAAGTATAAATAATGCCTAATGGTATACATACACTCTGAAACTTTTCTGAAAAACGGTCTGCCATCTGCTTGTGTTATTGCTTTGAGAAGCATGAGGCAGACCCCCGAGCCTCAGAGTTTAAAGATGGCTGCCTGTTTGAGTCAAAAGGACAAACTCAGGGATGCACTTAACCTGTGCACTTGGCCAACCATGTGCTATTCTCTGACTCAAGCATGAGGAAGGCATGCTCACATACAGGCCAGAGTGGAGCAGAGAGAGCCAAACATTCTTTTTGTAAAAAACTGAAGGATTTGTAACTGAGTAAAATGCATTTTGAAAGTTGTGGGTGCCATGTCAGTGTTAGAGAACACAAACAGTTTGTGCTTTTTGGGTTGCAGAAGTTTTTCTGTTTTTTTTTTTTTTTTTTTTTTTTTTTCTGCAGTACCAGTGAACTGGCCATGTTCAACTTGCAACAGGTGTTAGCTGGCAATGTTATATCCACCACTGACACAGTGCAAAAAGGGAAAATGACTGCAATTAAGAATTTATGTGATGGCTACTTGCTGATAATATAATCTTCTACATCCCCCATTACACAATTAACCTACTTTGACAAAATATGGGTTAGGTTGAGTATCACTTTGCCTCGGCACCACCTTGAGGTCACAACTGACATTGTAGCTTGATCACTGGTGCAGATGCTTGTTTCCTGTGCTGCTTTGTGCCGTGTCAGCTAAGGAAAAGCGCTGACTCCTCTGACTGAAACTGTGGCACATTCAGGCTGTAAATTAGGTCACCTAAAGGTGCTGACGGTTTTCAATAAGAACTCCACCACATCACAGCCAAACAGACGCCTCTGCACACGCCACTCTGCACCTTATATGGCAACAGGATGTGCTCCTATCTTGGGTTAGGATAATAGAGATGTCTGTTAAAGTTACAACATTGCTAAACTTGGAAAAAACAGTAAAATCAATTTAGCATTCAAGAAAAATGAAAGAAGTTACATATTAAAGAAAAAAAAAATGTAATGTATTTGACCACAATTTGTCTTGCACCAGTACAGATAAATTGTATAAGCAACTTTTGAGGTCAAAATAAGTCTGTTGGGAACCCTCTGTATCTATTATCTATTATGAATTATTTGCTGTAGTGTTTCATTCATTGGTACCAATTGCTTATAACAGGAGCCTTCCCAGATTGATATATGGGCTACACACATAACAAACTGGAAAAATCCAAGTTAGAATTATATAGTTTTAGCGTAAAACTGCATTCAGACTGCTGCATTAGGGTGTCCAGTTTACAGGCAAAGACTATGTGGACAGGCGTCTGTGGTCTCTTGAGTGTTCGGTGTCGGACTCTCTGTTCACACATCTGATGACAGAGTTGAAAAAGCACAGCATCAGCCAGTCAGGGACTACTGTCCAGTACGTAGCAATGTCATTATCTGGAAGCCGCTGCCGAGCCAATCAGCACTTGCAGACCACAAAGGCTTTTTGATTCTGCCAAAATTTTCAACTTTATTTACCTTTCTTTTTTCCTTGCAAGTAACCATATTTGTTTGATCAGGCGTGTCCCTGATTGGCTAATCCACCTTTCAGTCCCTTTTGCCGATCTCAAACCAAAAAGATTCAAAGGTGACTGGATGCACATATTGAATCATTCTCTTTGTACATTAGATTTTATGAACTATAACATCAGCCTGTCCAGGGACTACAGGTGGAAATTAGCACTGGCGCTATAACCTGGTACAATGCATGTCTCCTGTTAAGGTTAATGTATATTATTGAAGTAGTGGGCATTCTGGATCCCAAGCAACAAGTTTTAGTCTACAAAAATGTAATGCTAATTTAGTTGACTAAACAAAATACAATAGTTTTAACCCATGCAATATATATTTTGCTTTCATTATGATTAACTGCTGCTTATGCTTGATGGGGCAGACTTGTCCCTTGGAGGTTAAGCTTGTTTATAGCCTGGTTTGAAGCTCTGAAACTGAAAAAAGTAGTCTTTACTCATTACTTTTGTTCATATGTTTATTTTTTATCATTCAAAATTCAAAAAGTATTGATACAAAATACCAAAACACATGCAATTTTAGTGATTGTGATTTATTATGATTACTTTTCAAATTGGTTTTAATTTTGTTTCAGTCAGCAAAAACACATCACTGACGAATATATTTTAGTCCATAAAATGAGCACCCAATTAAAACATGGTGCACGTATAGCCACTTGTGAGGTTATATATAATATACGCGTGCATTAGGGGGTTCTCCACATGTGCTGCTCCCTATGTGAAGCTCGCATTGACAGTGGTGTGGCCCTGCCTATTCATTTTGAATGATGCCTAAAAACGTGTCCATAAATATGCTTTGGGTGAAATGTGTAGGGCAAAGTACACTTGCAGTTTACCCTGGCCTTAGGAGTTATTCTCCACCAAAAAACACAACCTGCAATGGTCAAAAAAATCTGACTGCGACCATTGACCCGCTACAACTCTATGAAACTGGCTCTAGCAGACTCCTGGAATCTTCAGACACAAATCTTCAGACAGAAATGACGACGATGCTAGTAAACATTTGCATGTGGACATATCACCTTGATAAACTTATATCTGTAGTAGAGCTAAAATTAGTCATCTGATGAGTGATGGAAGCTTAGTGATTAGAAAACATTTTGTGATTGGCCGTAAACACCTGACAGAGGTGATGGAGTGCACAGATAACGTTTTTGTAGGCCAGAATTTACCATGAGATCTCCTCTCAAAGGCTATAAGAGGGCACATAAGGACAGAACGAGATCTAACACTGAGGAGCTCTGAAGAACCAAAGTGTTGACAGTGTTTTCAGAACTGGACCTATCTGGACAGTGTTTGCAGACCGCGCAAGAATCCAAACACAGGACAGTGTTATCATACCAGGAAATACACCAAAAAGACTTATTAGTGAAACGGCCGGCAGCATGAGGAATCTCAACATACTTTTGGTGAGAATACATTCAAATGCCCAGAACATCACGTATAGGTTTTACAACATATGACCATAGCTGTGTTCAGTTTTATCAACAATTAGCATGCTATCGGCATACTTCTTGATTATTGGACAATAAAATAAGATGCAGACAGCACACTTATTTTGACCTCAAAAGCTGCTTCTACAATATATCTGTAAGGGGGGAAACATCATTTCTGATAAAATCTGATTCAGGCTCTTAAGTGGCAGGTGAAAAGATAGTAACTGTATGAATCATGATCAAATCAAAATTGTGATCCTAGCTCTATGAACAAAATGTGGAATGATTTTTTGGCATATAGCCCAGCCTGATGAGATGTAGAATTGTTTGGGTCCTGTATAGTTCAGGTTAAGTTCTGGGTGCGAGTGTGAATGCATCAAAAAGCAGTCTACTGCCAGGTGTGGGACATGGTTATGTTTGTTTCATTTAGTGTCAAAGAAAAGTACGGTTGTAGCTTAGTAGTAAATGTGAAAATCCATAACTAATCCTCCCTTCCTCAGGTCTGTTGCAGTGTGTGGTGGGCAGGAGCAGCTCGCCGGAGGGGCTGTGACACCAAGTTGGATCTGTCCACTAACTCCCCACGTCTGTCTCAGGCCATGGGGGAAAGCACATACGACATACACAGCCGCTCTCTGTCTCCCTGGACCTGGAAGTAAGCCTCTCAAACCTTCTGCTATGACTTGTCAATGGAGCTCAACAGCCTAGCCTCTTTAGCAGGAGCCTGCACCACAAAATCACCAAAGAACAAGGAAAGTTGATCACTTTTTTTTCACTTTCCCATTTTCCCACATTTTTCAAAAAACTTTATTAGTTTAGTTTAAAGGCATAACAAAGGCTAATAGTTATCTGGTAAATACTAATATGTGAATGTGAATGTAAGAAATGGATTGCAATGTCTTCTCAAAAAAAATAAAAATAAATAAATAATAATAATAATATAATATTGATTATAAATTAATATGTATTTTTTAAGACAAAGTGTGTAGCCTTTTCTGAAAAAAAAAAAAAAAAAAAAAAAGACTAAAATTTAATTATTTCATTATGTATGTTTTTATTGTACTGAAAACATTATTACACAGAGAAACATGTGGGTCACATGTGTCCTTACTGTGAGCGGACTTGCACCTTCACAAAATGGGCTCTTATTTGACTTGGAGGGCTTCCTCCTGCTTGTTTCCATGGAAATGTTGTTCCTTTAGCACTAATCTTCCACAATATGGCATAAAACTTAATCTGTTTCTGTGAAAAATGTTCCAAAGTATAGTTTTAATTTCCTATTTCCATGGAATTATGCAGATGATCTCTCACCTCCAGAAAGTTACATACCATTTTGATCATGTTATATATATGTTATTAAAAAAAACAAAAAAAAACAGACTCATTTACAGTCACAGTGCACTGTTCAGTCTAGACATTATTCATTTTCTCCACACTCAATAATGATACGCTTTAAGCCCTAGTTGTCTTGAAGTGGACTAATGGAAGTGAAGCTGAGTATCAGCTAAGCTCACGACATTCATTTGAAAACATTTATCATGAAAACTTAATTATTTTGTTTTGGTGATCATAAAATAATGATAAGGGAAAGATGACAGTCATATATTTGACTTCCATATTTCACAATTTTTGTGTAACATAGTTAGGCTAGTAAGACTGTTGAGCTCCACGATTGTTTGTACCATGGCATGGAAACATAATTTTAGTTAAGTAATTCTGCATTGCTTTTTTCCGTTTGCGTTTAGAGCATCCACAGTTTCAACACGGATCCCATCTACACTGTGGGAGGCTGAGTGCAACAGCAGTGTCTGCTGGCTTCCCCACAGGAATCAGGAGACAGAGGGTGTGGACATGGGACTTAGCGCAGTGCCCATTTACCAGGTGGTGCTGGTGCTGGAGAAGAAGCAGGGCAGTCGCTGCTTCACCACCGCATTCCATCCTCTGGCTGTGGGCTGCACCTGTGTCAGAGCCCCGACCACCACAACCTGAGCTCCACACCCAAGAGTGTGCATGTCATGTAATCTGTCTTATTATTTTTAGTATTTATTTATTCTGTTTTTTATTTAAAATATATGCCAATAAAAAAGAAAAATAAGTATATCTCTGTTTTTTACAAAATACACATGAAAAACAGCAAAAGAAAATGAAATAGTCAAATGGACAAAGGTTTTAGAGTGAAGCACACACTAAAATCTGATCACCCATTTGGGCCCTGCGATAATGCAGAATATGTTTCAGGGACAGTTAGTGTAACAGACCTAACTAACAAATAGGTTTGTTAGTTTCAGTATAGTTAGTGGCTCCAGCAATCTGATCAGAACTGTAAGCATATGTACAGGTCTTCAGTCCTTTACAAGATCACTTTCTTTGGTCCTCTGGAAAAAGGCCATCTACAGATTCAAACGTTTTATATTCCACTGTATACAGAGTGCGGACCATGCCACTCATCCTCCCGGAGCCTCAGGAAAGCCCCTCTTTGCTTCTGGTTGATTTGGGCATATTCTGCACACTGCACATCAGATGGATGAGTGGCGAAATGTCTTCACTCTAAAACTTTTGCCCAATTGACTGAATAGAATTTCCTTTTGCTATGGAACCTATGAACCTACTGGGGACTTAATATAATTCAAAGTTCAAAAGGTGTGTCAGTGTATGAATGAGTTTCTTTTACTATACAGGGCAGTATTAAAGTTTCTGTAAGCCCCGCTCATGTGTTTCATTTAGCTTAAAAGTTAATAATGACAGTACTCAACTAATACTGACCTGAGATCTTTGACACTTTATGCAATGTAACAGATATAACACATCATGCTCAATGAAATCTATTAATATTATATTTATGGTTTAAGTGAAAATGTATACATAGCTATGGAAAATGCCACGAGAAGTCAGTCTCACTCTGCATTGACTCCTGTGCACATGTTTATGACAGTACAAAAGTTAAACTAGAACACTAAAACCTTTTTTTTTTTACTTTACTAATCTGTATATATATATAGTAGTATTTTTAAAGCTGTGTCTACTGTTCAACTGTCATTTCTTGACAGTTTTTGCGCAAACTAGATAAACTAATCAAAACAGTATTAGAAACAGTAAACAGTCAAAGAGTGTGTGCTGCTTCCAGTTACCACTGTAATTTCAAGTACTTGGTGATATCACACAGGGCTACCCTGACTCCATCCAGGTAACACCGAGCTGCAGGGACACTTCAAACTCTGCACTTGTTAGACCAATCACACTGTTCTTCGTATGTCCAGACCCACAGACTGTAAAAAAAAAAAAAGTGGACTAAGCGAGTATGATGTGCTAGCGTTGTGATGCTAAATGAAGCTCGAGATGCTAATGGTTACAGGAGCAAATTTGGAGTCAGGCTCTATATATATATATTATATATTATATATTAATAGGATTTTTTTGATGGACAAAATAGTAAACTAGAAAAGCACTCAGAGAGCGCAGACCTCCGCCAAGGACTACCCCCATTTTTTATATAAATTGCGATAAAATCAGTCTTCTGGATCAGATCCGGATCAGCCTTTGGAATCTGAAAGAGGATCCCATTGTCCATCCTTGAGTCAAATTTCATGGGGTTTGGTCAATAATTAACTGAGATATTGAGAATCAAAATTTTTATCCCCATATACCACAATGTTAACTAAAATTTCAAAGTGATCCAGAATCCAGGATTTCTTCCGGATCACCCCCAAAATGAAATCAGTTCTTCCTTTTCACATTTCCAACAAATCCTGAAAATTTCATCAAAAGCGGTCCATAACTTTTTGAGTTATGTTGCTAACAGACAAACAAACAAACAAACAAACAGACAAACGCCGGCAAAAACATAACCTCCTTGGCGGAGGTATAAAAAAAAACATAAGATCATGTAGTGTGAGTTACGACAAACTTTTTAAAACCAAAATGACGTGGCTCACAGCAGCAGTTACAGCGAGAGGGGCAACAATAATCCAATGTGGGAGCTGGAAGAGCCACATGTAAACTTCCTATTTAGAATGCAGTGGCTAGCATTTATATTTACAGTCTATGTTCAGAACACATCCCTCCTCTTCCCCTCACTCTTTTCTTTAGTTCTCAGGTACTGGCCAGTTTAGCAGCTCTGTACTATGGTTGGTCTTGTTTAGTCTCACTTTGACTGTGAAAACATATTTGATTTGGGCAGATCTACAGTTCACTGTTTAAAACTTAATACAATCTGAAATGCTCACTTGTCCTTTATAATCTGAGTGGACACTGTGTAGAAGCAGCATTGTCAGCAGAGTGTGGTATGTGGTCTCATGACATGCCTGAAGAACAAGCAAAGCCTCCTCTGTCACACCCCAGGCAGCCAAGAGGGTCCGGACAAGGATAGACCAAGCATGTGCGAGAGACCTGTTGTCCTGGAGATATTTTGGAGTTTGGATTTACTCAGGTCTTCTTTGTTATGTTTTAAACTCTATCTAAGCCATTACATGCTGGAACGAACACACATGAATACAGAAGCCTGCTGCTGCCAGGTAAGTGAAAATGTATGAACTGCTAGCCCGAACACTTCGTCCTTTCTCTCACTCTGATGTTGATAGATACTATATAAAAAGAGATAATGACAGGCTGCTGTTTCCACATGGGTCTCATTCAATATCTCGGATTTTATACAAATCTGTCCCCAGTAGTAGAATTTGGTTATGACATCCATTTTTCGCTTTCATTAATGGCTGCATTACAAATAACCATTGAGAACTGTTGTGGGAAAAAAAACAGGACTAACCAGGCTGGTGCCATTTAGTGCCTCCATTCAATTTCATTTCTCTCCAGCGACTAGGCCCTTCTTCCTATAGGATTTGGGAAAAGTTTTACATACGTCACGACCAAATAGCAGTAATCGGTTAAATAAAAAAAGGACCCACTTACTGTCAAGAGAACAATTGCTGCGAGGTCAGACGGTTTCCAAGAAGTGAAACCAGCTGATTAATCAGGCTAGATATGGACAGGGCCTAGGCCTAGAGACCAACAGCCTCTTCCGAGTGTCCTCTCTCCAGTCAGTCTTTCTCACCATCTCCCCCAGAGCAACTCCTCTCCAGAGCATCTTCTCAGAGAAAGCCCTCCCAACCATCTCTCCCCAGAGCATCTGAGCTCTGAGTATTTACACAGAAATACAAGTTGCATACATATCAAAGCAAAGTGACTTTTCACAGATTTATGCTAATCAACAATATTATAACATACACCATAACATACATTTGAAGACAACTAAGACTACACAGAGTTTCCTGGAGGATGGGGACAGTTTTGTTGCTGAGCCTTTACACATGCTAATGACTGGTCTGGTTTAAGGAAGAAATCACATTCACTTACACAAAGACAGATTGTGAGAAGTCTGTCCACAATATAAATTTCCATCACAGAACCATGTTGAAAGTAGCCTTGCTCTGAACTAGAAGAAAATAAAGTCATGCACAGTCTTTTTAATCAGTTTTTCATGTATTCATGTCTGTTCTTCATATTTGTATGCCAAAAAACCCAAAAGGTCCAAAGATCACATTTTTACTTATTGGTCTGGTTGTATCTTGTATTAACATGGAATGCAATCTCATATATAGCTTATAACACTAATCCTTCACTAAGTAAAGAGGGGGTTTTATGCAAAATCGACTTTATGAGCTTTCTACCATGTTAAACCTTTGTTTTCCAATCAAAAACTTGTTTGAGGAGGATTTATACGTCATCCAAGCATGTCTGAGTAATCTTGAGATCTCTACTGGGCCCTATTCGAACCCTCCTTATGGTTAGCAGTCTTATCAAAAGTTCAGCCCACAAGCCTATGTCACCCACGCTCTGTGCAACAAGTCTGCATAAATATACAAAACCATGATACAAATCTGTACGAAACTTCACAAACCTGATATGATGTGCACGGCTATTGTAATGTAATTGCACAATGAAGGGGGAGTGACTTAGCATGGGAGTGCAAGGGAAAGGGAGGCTAAGAGTGTCAAAGCCAAAACTAAAACTTGTTAAACATGTTAATAGGTTGTTTTCGGTGAATACAGCATTTTCAAAACAAAAAAATTTAACATGGTGATGTAAATACGGTATGTGTTATCAGTTAATACCCCACACATGTGTAATAGGCCACCCCCTCCTTTAAGTAGTCTTGATATAAAAGTAAAATTGACTGTCAACCTGTTGTGGCTCGAAATGGTTCGATGCAATTTCTTGAGTATGTTAGATTTTAGAATCATTAATTAGCTGGTTGTTAGCATAAATTCTAATTTCAATGCTAAATTGCTAAATCAAAAAAGTTCATTCAACGCTGATACTTATCTATGTTTTCTAATGTGGCTCTGGTGTTTAAGATATTTGATGGCTAACCCTAACTCTCTCATTGAAAATGCATTAGAGCTTTAGAATTAAGGCGTTCCACTGTAAAAGTCTGGAACGGTGTAAATAAGAACATGTCTCTACTATAAAGAAGTGGACCAAGGGAGCATGACATCACCCAAGGCAGTCGGCTCCACTCGAATGAAGCTCACGAGACTAGCATTTATAGAAGGAGTGAATTTGAAGGCGAGTACCATATTAGGAATAGGAATTGATTTGACAATGACAAAATATTGAAATTAAAACACTAGGATCATGTAGAGCGGGTTAATACAAACACTTAAAGATCAAAACGGCAAGGCTCACAGAAGCAGTTACAGAGATGCTCACTTCCTATTTGGAACGTGGTGGCTTGCGGGTCAGCTATGCACATATATACAGTATGTCTATGGACTAGTTTATATGATCTGTGTAAACGAAAACAAATAAAGTTATTCATATGCCATTTGATATTGCTCTTATATTCGTATTGCATTTGATATTTTGCAGCCGATGTCATCAACATTCACCTGGTGGGTGAAGCAAACTAGAAGCAATATTCTGTCTGAAACTTGTGACTTAAATTAGATTTTAATCTGAGCGTTAGCACAATCTAACCCATAGACTGTATATATAAATGGACATAGCTAAGGTGCTAGCTGCCGTATTCCAGATAAGAAGTTTTGCATGCGGCTCTTTTGGCTTCTTCTGACCCTGGCTCCCATTGACTTACATTGGAACATTGTGGAAACTCGCTCTGAAATTGCAGCAGTGAGCCTTGTCATTTTGGTCTTAAAATGTTCGCATTAGCTTGCTTTACGTGATCCTTTTGTTTTTTCCTCACTATTTTGTCCTTCAAAAAAATCCTATTCATAATATAGAGCAGGGGTCTCCAACCTGTAGCTTGGGAGCTTGCCACCCTTTTCCTAGTAGCTCGCCAAGGGATTTCTGAATTACACATATTGTCCTGAATAAATAAAAAATGATGAATTAAATGCTTATTATGATTGTTCATGTATAATTTTGATGCCTAACAGTGTACACTAATAAATGAATAATGGTTTATGTTTTATAGGCCTCTAACTGCATGTCATTTAAGGCTCGCTCGCATAGCTCTTAAAAATATATATAATTCCTTGTGACGGCTAAAAATAGTAGCTCTCTGGCATTTTCATTTTGTAAAGGTTGCTGGCAAGAGGAAAAAAGTTGGAGATACCTGATATAGAGCCTGGCTCCAGATTAGTTCCTGTAACGGTTAGCATCACGGGCTTCATTAGAGCGGCGCTATGGGTGACGTCACACTCTCTTAGTCCACTTCTTTTATACAATCTATGATCTGACCATAAAGAACGGTTTTAGAATGGTTAGAACTACAATATGTGAACTTTTACAATTTTATATTGTTAAATAAGTCCCTCTCAAATAGGGTGACCACATTTTCAAAATAAACAACTGAGACAGTCCTGGTTTGTGGTGGTTGGTAATAATAAAATTGTGAAACAAGTTCTGCACTCGGCACTAATGTGAGTAGGTATAGTCACATTTTCTTTGTGTTTTGGTCACTTTTAAGCAGCTTTTCTGTATTTTACCGATTATGTTATATTTATGCCTCTCTTTACTTTCGGCAGGGATCAAATTGGTCAAAAATAGGGACACCTGGGACATTTCTTGTACAAAACTGGAACAAATCACTGGTTTTGGATAAATCTGCTGGGAGAGGGGACACACGGCTCAAAACTCTGACTGTCCTGGGTAAATAGGGACACCTGGTCACCCTCTCAAATAACATTAGAGTCACAAACTAGCTAGCAAGTAAAGCACTTTGAATTACTTTGTGTACGAATTGTGCTATACAAATAAACTTGCCTTGCCTTGCCTTGCCTAGCATGGGCCAACATGTTTTCAGTTTATCACTGTAAAGTTTTTAAGTTGAAAATCAGGAGCACGGACACTCGGATTGATCTCAGGCTACTGATAATTTGCAATTTGGATGCATTTTAAGACTTAGATCTTAAAAGAATGAGAACACATCAATTATCCCACACACTGTCTTACTTGCAAATTGTGAGATTTATTGGGACAAATCGTGCAACATTTCGGCACTAGACCTTTATCAGGCAAACATAATGAGGCCTAGTGCCAAAACGTTGCACAGTTTGTCCTAATAAATCTCACAATTTGCAAGTAAGACGGTGTGCAGGATAACTGATGTGCAAATTTCTCATTCTTTGAAGATCTAATCAGACTGAGCTGCTGAACATTCTGCCATACACATGCATGCAGTCTTCCCCAAGCATGATGTCACTGCAAAGTGTCAATTCAAAAAGCTGGAAATACTGTAGGCTGTCTACAGATTATGAAAATGTGAAATCCTTCTCTTTTTGTAAACAGTGAGATGATGACAGAAGAAAGCAGGACCTTCTGAAGTCATCCTTACAGAAGTGGACCACAGGATGTCTTCTGTGTCCTTGTCCCTCCCCTCGATGCCCGCCCCTCTGTTGTCTATCCTGCGAAAGCTCCTCCCTTCGCTTCCCCCTACTGGTCGAGACATGGATGTTCCCCCTTTGTACAGAGAAGCATTCGTGCTGTCAGGGTACCGGCCTTTAGGTCTGCCCTGGAGGTGCTATGTGCTCAGCCTGTTTCAGATGCACAAGGACACGGTGACAGTTTGGTGCCCTCTACTGGCTGCAGTGGCTATGATGGTGCGGTTCCTGTTCTTCACGGTTCTCCAGGGAGGGGTAGGTATAACTTTGTTTTGGAATTCATATACCATGCAGTTAGCAAATAGTTCTAAATAAACTACATTGCAAAAAAGCTTAAGATATAAACACTTAAATCGCTTGAAAATTAAAATGATTTAAAAGTAGTGAAATCTGTCCATGCAGCAAGATAATTTTACTTGACAAGTTATATTAAAATAAACTACCTCTACCTTAATTCTCTGGTATAGTAAGTAGATAATAAATCTGAAAACAAGATGAATAACCAGATATAAGTTTTAAAATCTTGGCCAGATCAGAGAAATTTGCAGTGTAAGTGAACTGAGTATTTAGACATTTCTCTCTGTCTCTGCTTTGACTCTTCTGAAAATCTAGGTTATTACAATAATATGTGATTAAAGAGGGGGTATTAGGCAGAATCAGCTTTTATGGAGCTTTCTACCATGTTATGTAAGTACCTCATCAAAAAAAAAAAAAGTCTCAAGAGACGTTTCTCTCGTGTGACCTATTTTTACTTCCTTATGATCTTTTTTTTCCATCAACGTACAAACTCAAGATACAAAACAGTACAATATGACTTCACAAACCTGATGTGATGTGCAGTAGATATTTAATTTGCGAAGCATGATGATTGTGTTGTGTTTTGCTCTGAAGGGAAATTGACTCTGAGGAGAGCTAGGGGAGGGGAGAGTCAGAACTGTACATTTTCAAAAGAATAAAAAGTAACATTTTGCTCTAAATATATTACTCTACAGAACTGATCAAACGAATATCCCCTGTTTAGGAGCCTATTTGCCTTGCTTTGATATGATCTCATGTTTACCTCAGGGTGTGCTGGGGGTGCGGCTGTGGGCTCCTGAGGGCCCAGGTGTCTCCTTGGACCCCAGCTCTCTGCCTCTGCTGCTCTATGTTCTGTCTGCGGTCCTCTGCCTCAGCTGCAAGTAAGGCCTTTTTTTTTTACTACATATATATATATATATATATATATATATATATATATATATATATATATATATATATATATATATATATATATATATATATTATATATATATATATATATATATATATCCAGCACCCTGAGACTGTACGCAGGCCGGAAGGAAGGGGGCCGAGGACTAGTGAGTGTGGGAACCACTGTCCAGGATGAAACATCCAAGCTCCTTGAGTACATCAAGGACAAGGCCCCGGCAGATGAGGTGCTCAGAGAATGTCTCAGACAGTGGGGTCCAGAGGAAGAGGTGCTGGAGGGACCATCATGGCAGGACAAACCCCTACATGGGGCAAACCACCGGAACATAACTGAAGTGGCTGATATCAAGAAATCCTACCAATGGCTTGAGAGGGCTGGTCTGAAGGACAGCACAGAGGCACTGATCCTGGCTGCTCAGGAGCAGGCCCTGGGCACTCGAGCAATAGAGGCCCAGATCTACCACACCAGACAAGACCCACGGTGTAGACTGTGCAAAGAGGCTCCTGAGACAGTCCAGCACATAACTGCAGGGTGTAAGATGCTGGCAGGGAAAGCATACATGGAGTGACATAACCAAGTGGCAGGCAGAGTGTACAGAAACATCTGTGCAGAGTACGGGCTGGGAACCCCAGGATCAAGGTGGGAAACACCTCCAAAGGTTGTGGAGAATGACCGAGCCAAGATCCTGTGGGACTTCCAGATACAGACTGACAGAATGGTGATGGCGAACCAACCAGTTATAGTGGTGGTGGATAAGAAACAGAGCAGAGCCGTGGTGGTGGACATCGCAATACCAAGTGATGGTAATATCAGGAAAAAGGAACATGAGAAACTAGAGAAATACCAGGGGCTCAAGGAAGAGCTGGAGAGAGCCTGGAAAGTAAAGGCATCAGTGGTGCCTGTGGTGATCGGAGCACTTGGGGCTGTAACCCCCAAACTGGAAGAGTGGCTTCAACAGATACCGGGAAAAACAATGGACATCTCAGTCTAGAAAAGTGCAGTACTGGGAACAGCAAAGATACTGCGCAGAACTCTCAAGCTCCCAGGCCTCTGGTAGAGGACCCGAGCTGAATGAGGGTGAGAGACCTACCACCGTGGAAGGTGAGAAACACATTTATTATAACTATATATATATATATATACATATATATATATATATATATATATATATATATATATATATATATATATATATATATATATATATATATATATATATATATATATATAATACATTATGAATACAATAACAATACAATACATACAAAATTACCAAGATCAGACTGAGGGTAATAAAGAGAAAGGGGAAAATTTTCATACATTATACAGCAGTGTTTCCCAAACTTTTTTGGGTGGATCTATATTTTAAAAGTTACAAATCTTCACGACCCAAGTCAAAAGATATTATTCATAAATCACAAAATAAAGGTGGATTTGACCATTATTGAACATTAATGAGAATATTTTATTGTTGACTGAGTGATCATGTCTCTGAACAATTAATTTTACTCAAGTTTTAAACAATGAAAAATAGTATTTGAACCAGCAATAAAAGGATCTGTAAGGAGCCTATTTGTACATAATATAGTGCAGAGCCTATTTGTATATAGTTTATTGCAGAGTCTATTTGTATATAGTATATTGCAGATGTACATGCAGATCGTGACAAGGCTACCCCAAAAAACCCACATGAGGATCACAACCCAGTCTTTGGGAAACAATGTTATACAGTATATCCCTAAAAGAAAGGTATATACATACACACTTCAGGTCCAGATATTTTTTGTGAATTTAACTCCGCAGGGCCTTCTTGAGTGAAGCAAGAGATCTAACCACTCAGCCGCGGTGCCATCATGTGTGTCTTTATGTCTCCTGGAGTGTCTTCATGTCTCCTGATGTGTCCTTTCTTGCTGTCTCTATGTCTCATAGTGCCCTCTCATCTACATGGTGTTATTTTACAGTGCAGTGTCTCTCCTCCTCTACCCCTACACCAGCTGTGTGCGCTCCTGCCTACTCCTCCTGGACTCTGTGGGGCGAGGGGTGCATCAGGCTGGGCGTGCTCTGGCTCTCAGTCTGTACAGCTCTGATGCTTCCTGGACAGAGAGTGCTGTGGGCCAGGTCGGTTTTCTGTACCACCAAAAAATGTCTCATATAATAGTATTTGGGTATTAATTTGGTATTTAACTTTGTATAACTTGAAATAATGCAACACTCTGGGCATTAGAAAAGCATTCTGTATGTTTTAGTAGATTTTAAATATCTGCTTCTCTAATGAACATATTGTTGCTTTTTAGGACTGCAATCGACAATTATTTAGCAGTCAACTAGTCAGCAATTATTTTTTCCTATTAATTGATTGGTCAAAAATGAATGTACAACAGAAATAAATACATTATCAACAGAAGTTGAAATATGGTGACTGAAGGCTTCTAAAATGAGAATATTTACAAATCAATGTTGAAATTCAGAAATGGTTTCTTCTATTTTTATATATTTTTAAAATTATACCACTGCCTTTTTTATTTTAAAAACAAAGTCTTTTGTATTAATTTTTATAGTCAACTCGGCACAATTAGCCATTAATTGTTGTAGCCCTATTGCTGTATTTACCTGGCCAGTTAGAAGTACATAATTTAAAAAACAAACAAAGACAAGTGGATCTGGAGCCATATCCTGTCTCCCTGATTTCAAAGAGCATGATTGAGAGGTAGATTAACCAGTTAGACAGGCACACAGTCCGTTCATGTCAAAAACAAACGTGGCTGCTTACACATAAAAAAGGAGAAAATTTGACATAAAGGACTAAGAAACGGGTGCGGATTTTTAAAGAATCAACAACTGAAGCACCAAACCAAATCACAAATTTCAGGTTAAAGAAGTTATATATTTTGTTCTGAATGTTATGAGAATTTTCATGAGGAGCTGTCTTCCAGATTTGATGGAAACATGCTACAAATTAGCAGCTGTGGTTGGATCATTTTGTGTTTTGACAGAGGTTTTTCACACTCTATGCTTCTGTATTTGAACAGAATGTAGAAGGGACTGGCTGGCCAGATAGTTGATGTATGGTATAAACTTATCTATAATTCAATTAAAGGTATGGTTTGGGGATACAGGTTGCCAAGTTTGATGCCATTTGCAGGAACTTTTCAGGTTAAAAAACATCTAGTTTCAGCCCCTCCACCTAAAAACTTAAATTGATAAGGTCCCTGTGAGGGCAAATAAATTTAGATTTGTAGGAATGAATTAGTCTGAAACACTGTTTGTTTAAATTGGTTAGCTGTGTAATGCAGGTCAAAATGTATATGAACAAAAATACATTAAAGTGGGAATAAACACCTAAACTCTGCCCACAACTACATTGAAAAGCTGCTAAATTGGGCAGTAAATGGATGATTAAGCGGGAGAGTGGGGGAAGTAGGAGGACGGGGTCTGGCACAAAAATTGCCCCCCCAAAAAAAAAGACTAGGAACAGTTGATAACAGGCTCTAGTCACGCTTACCAGAAGTCATTTGGAAACATGTGAATGACGCCTTCCAGTGTAGTTACCGACACTGGGCATGTGATAAAACCATGGATTCAGCAGCAGCGGTCTTCCCAACCTGCCAAAGCTTTCCATGGGAGACGTGACTCATCACATATTCAATGTCACTTGCAGACAGCTGGTTGTAACTGTTGGGTCTACTGAAAATAAAGCAACATTACTTTTTTTCTTTTTTTAAGATAGTTTTTTATGAGGTTAGACAAATTATAATGCATAAATGAATAAGCAATTTCTAAAAGGAAAAAAGAAAGAATACTATGACATCTAGATGAACAAAACCAGGCCACATTCTCAGTTTTCCCAGATTTTGTCAGAGTTACTATCTCCAAGAGAGCCCATAGGAAGTCGTCATACGCATGTTTCCAAACGTCTTCCTGGTTTGTGACATAAGCATGAATAGAGCCTGTTTAAAATACTATACACACAGAGTAGTAGCAAAACAAAATTGGCTTAGTATGTGGATCCACTTTAATCTGTTATATGTTATAAACTGTTATATTTCTGTTATAATCTGATCTGTATTTGATTTGGAAACATGAGAGACATCACATAGTTTCATCCTTTGTATGATCTTCAGCTCTACTTCCCCACTGCTGCTGTCCTAGCGTGGTTATCTTGCACCACTGGCTGCTGTGTGGAGCTGTACCCCCACCGTCCAAACCTCCTCCACCGCAAGCTGCTGTGGGGAGGACCTGTGCTTCTGGCCTTCCTCCTGGACATCAGCCCAGTGGCCCGACGCCTCTACACCTGCTCCTGGAACAACCAGGCAGTACTGCTGCACAGCCTACAGGTGTCACTATACTCTATCACACTGAGAATTGGGTATTACCGACTGTATATATAAATGGACATAGGTAACCCACTAGCCGCCGTGTTCCAAACATGGATCTGTAATTTGAACTGGATACCAACTCTGCCCCTCTGTTCCCATGTGAGACTGATACTCCGCTCTATTGGTACTGCAGCTCCCAGGGGCTCCGGCCCAGAAAGACTTGTCCCGATGCATTTTTTGTGAAATCAAACTGCTCGTGTTCAGCTGACAGAGCATCCACAGCTTTCACAAAGGTCGAATTTGTAGGATTTTTTTGCACTCTGGGCAGGGCTATCCCAGTATTCAGGAAGTAATGAAGAAAACCAAACAACTCAAGCCCCTTGTATTTAGAGAAAATGTCAGATTTGATGGGCAAGAGTAAACAACAGCTGTTAAGCTAATAGGCCCTGTGAGGTTACTCGTTAGTTACTCTGTTAGTTGGTTGTCTGCATAATTAGCCCTTGTCATATTTACACTGTATTTAAGTATGATTTTTTAAATGTCTGTAATGCATCACATAGCATGCTACAGACCGAGCTGGCTAAACAGGCATTTACATGACAAAAACAATCCCTTTCTTAATTTAGAATAAAATTTCATTGTAGACCTCATTGTTTGGAGAATAATAGGCAAATTGAATTATGTTTTAATTGTATACAACTAATCGAGTAACTAAAAGACAGCTGTTTTTAACACTTGCCTGACAAAGTTGATATTTTCTTCTAAGTACACGGGGCTTGAGTTGTTAGAGCAATTATTTACCAGATAGCCTAGTATATTAACTATTACAGTTAATGAAACATCACATAATTAATTATTTATTGTCTAGTGTTAATGTAGATTTTCAGCTTTTTTTTTTTTTTTCTCAAAATAAATTGAGGTGGGTGTGTTAATGAAACAGGGTCTGAAATACTTGCTCATATCACCACATTAAAGTAATATTATCTGGAGGCCTAAAAGGGAGATTGGGCAGGGTTTACTTGCTCTCTAAACTAGATATGTTCATATCTAGATTTTGGGACAAAATAAGAATACCAGGGTCATGTAGAGTGGGTTAATACAAATATTTTAAGACCAAAATCACAGCGGCGGTTACAGAGAGAGGGATGCAAAGTGAACTGGGACCAGAGTAGATGGAGCTGGAGGCACGCCCATGCTCACAGTCTAGCAGGTTAGCTAAGTTCATCTACATGAACAGTCTATAGTGATGTTATAGACATCACTGTAGACTGCAGCGCACACTCAAAAGTAGGAAACTGACCTAGTTTGCTTCAGAAAATGGACTAGGAACAGTAGAGTATGCTACTAGAACGCTATGTACACAATTAATTTGAAGAAAAAAATAAAAAATCTTTTAACCCTCTGATACAATGGCCTAACTATTCTCCATGTTGCCCTGCAGGTGGTGCTGTTTCTGTTGGCAGCCTTGTTCTTCTCCTGCCCCGTGCCTGAGTGCCTATCTCCGGGTGGTTTTGACATTCTGGGCCACAGTCGACAGCTCTTACAGGTTCTGCTGACTCTGTCCATCGTGTGCCAGCAGGAGGCGCTGTTGCAGGACTTCTCGTGGCGGCGGGCAGGACTGGTCAGGAGGGTGGGAGAGGAGAGCTTGCTGTGGTCCTGTGCTGTATTCTCTGTGGTCACTCTGAGCTGCTCGGTCACCGCCCTGGCTCTAAGGCGCTGCAGAGTGCCCAGATAAGACATCCCACATCTCTGCAAGTGCTAAGAACTATGTGGTGTTAAAGAAGGGATATATGCATTTTTATTTTATTTTTTTAAGCTGGCTACCATGTTATAATTGTTCCCTCATCAAAAACATGTCTAAAGGGTTTTTTATGCCATCCATGCATGTTTGAGTAATCTAGCAATCTCTCACAGGCCCTATTTGCATCCTCCTTGTAAGATTCTGTCCAATGCTCCACCCACAAACCTAAGTAATCCATGCTCCCAGATGACAATTCCCTTTAAATGTACAAAAGCATGATAGAAAACTGTACACAATAACTTAACAAACTTTTCGCAATGTGCGGTAGTTTCATTGGCAGGATGTAAGCTGATTGTGTTGTGACAGTACTCTGAAGGGGAAAGTGACTTAGCGCAGAAAGCAAATGTAGGGGGCACAGGAGTGAGGGGGAATATCAAAAACATCTTAAACCATCGATGAATAAAGCATTTTCAGAACAATTAAAGGTAACATGGGGATCTGAATATGTTTTGTATTAGCAGTTAATACCACATAGAAGTAAAATACCCCTGCTTTAAGTATCGATATGCTCATGACTAATTTTGTGTAAGGAACGAAATACTGAAAAGATGAAGTTGTAACTGAGCAATAGGACAATTTTTGTAAGTAAATTTGTAAGTTAATTAAAAACCTATGACAATAATGCTTTTGTTTTTGTCCTTTTTGTTGTTGTTGTTGAAAAGTTACACATGAGGCTTTATATAATTTAAAATTTTTCTTTACTTTTGGAAAAGTTTTTTTCTTTTCTTTTGTCACTCTGCACCCTGGAGACATTTACTTAGACCAACTTTATTGATCCTCATGGAAATTATTTGGACAACGTAGCTCACACATCGCAGTATATTATAATAACTAAGAGAAAAAAATATATATAAATGGTAATAATTCTAAATGAGTATCAATAATAGCAGGAGACTGGTGTCAGATAAAGTCTAATTATATAAATGTATATGTAAGTGTAAATAAAATAGTAATAGTAGAAAAATAAAATAATAAACATGTATCTCAGCTTTATACAAGAGGTCATAAGGAAAACAGTGCAACAATGATATGATGACTGACAGGACATAAAGTTATCTGTTACATGAGGGTGAGGTGTTGAACAGTTGTATGGAGTATGGTATGAATGTAGTTCTGTACTGATCATAACTTTTAAACACATACACATATATATGTCCTGAAGAAGAGAGTAGTGTTGACTCAATACTAAAATGTTAAATTAAAATTCGATTCTAAGGAATAGACTCGGTATGGTCTTAGTACTTGTTCTGATACAGCCAAGAATGAGTATCTAGTTTCGACACTAGTTTTAATATCAATTAGTATTTGATTTCTGATACCTCTGACAACCCAGAAGAGACCGTAAAACTGTAAGAAGACATTTACAATCAAATGCTAAATTCTGTTAAAAAGCGAATGAAAGCATAAATGGAACTCAGA